ACCTCGCTTGTATCCTCATCGAACACCATGCGGACGTTGTGCTTCCCTGCGCGGAGTATTTTAATCCTGGCTGGGAAATAGAACTGGGCACGTGTGAAGGTGTTTTAGAACATCGTCGGGCCTTCCAGCGCAAGATTGATCCGGTGGTGAACGGAATTACGAACATGGAGAAGTACAAGCCCATCGAGAAGATCAAGACCGAAACACCCACGGTAGTGATGTTGTCGCATATTCGGTATGTATCTGCTTTCCTAATCTCTGCTTGCGAAACTGTCGACTAACCCATGTAATAGGTATGTCAAAGACATCAAGACAGCCATCATGGCTACAGACCTGATCGTCAACCAGTGGGGTTTCAAAGACTACCGCCTCCACATTTACGGCGATATGGAACGCGCTCCTGGATACGCGTCGGAATGTCAGGAGATCATTGCCTCCAAATCGCTTCGAGATCACGTTGTTCTTAAGGGATTGGGTAATCCATCTGTTGTGCTTCAAGACGGGGTAAGTCATTCCACGTTAGCACAGTTTTCGATCAATGCTAACCTTATTCATAGTGGCTTTTCATGAATTCATCCACTTCCGAGGGTCTTCCATTGGCGATGGGAGAGGCTGCACTAACGGGTGTTCCTGTGGTATGCACAGATGTCGGTGCCTCATTCTGTGTTGTCATGAACCGCGACACGGGCAAAAAGTTCAGTGAAGTCGTTCCCCCGAACGACGCCTTTTCCCTTGCATCGGCCCAGATACGGGTCATGGCACTTCTGGGAGAGTGGAGCAGGTTCGCGGGTGATGAGGAGGGCTACGTGCCCCCATCTCTGGGCTTGCGTCCATCTCCGGAAGAGGTGCAACGGATCTCCCAGCGTATGTACGAGAAGGTGGAACAACGTCGCCAGTTTGGTATGCAAGGTCGGGCGAACGTGCTCAAGAGCTTTTCCAGTCACCGGTATCTCCGCGAGCACGAGCAGATGCTCTGGCTGGGCAAGTACCAGAGCGAGAGCTACGTAGCCCGTTCCTCCTTGTCCTCCAGCGGTTCCAGCGGGTTCTTCAAAGAGCGGGTCACAGTCGAGCAGATCAACGAGCCTTTATTACCTCCTACTCCTCGGTGGCCAGGTGCCCGGCGGGAGTCGCGCCGTGGCTACTTTGGGTACAGCTCATCCAGTACTCAGTCTCTTTGTTGATGGAAAATGACATTTGAATGAGGGCGCATTTGGAAAACGGAGGTATCAAGTGAGTGAGGTCAGGAGTTGTACATAATGATTTTTCCTGTCATCCACTAGTTAGTACTTAGTCTTAATCAGCATAATGTTAATAGACCAATTGGTACATAACACTGAACTCAAGATGGGTGAAGTAGATCATGTCCATCAATTCGGGAGACCATGTGGAAAGTGAGGGAAAGGATGAGGATAGAAAAGAGGAGGAATGACCCGCGTGTATCTTCATTCACGCCCGATCAGGTGATACGCGGTCTAAAGGAAATTGGCCTTGTTTCTCAGGTCATATCGCCAGATCTACAGCGAAACAACAACCGCTAGAGAACTCCGGAAGTTATCACAGTAGTATAATCTCGTATGCGCTCTGAACCCCTACGTTACTCATATTTCACAAAATAATCCTCAATACTCATCTTAGTGAACAGGTCCATGGAGAAGCACAGATACTCAAGATACATAGAACGCCTTCAATTCCGCGTCAAACTTCTACTACTTATTGATTCATCCCCGAGTACCAACCTAGGAATAATTAAATATGAACCAACAACTAACTGCAGACCATTATGTACTTGGTCCACGCCAGTATACAATGCTCATGATCCGAAGAAGGCGGGTCTGCGCCCGTCTCAATTCCTGTAAGTCCCTCAGTCAGCGAATTTCGAAGAAGAATAATCGAACACACACAACATACAAAAAGAAGACAAGGAGCATAAGGATTGGAGAGTAACATACAGAAGCTGGAGCGTAAGATCTCCGTGGATCTTAGCCTTGAGCTGTACCTCAACGTCCAAATTCAAGTCTAGACGCAGGCGAAGCTGTTCGTCCTTCTTCTTCTCAGTTTGCTGTTGCCCCTGCTGCTGAAGTTGAGTGTCATTTCTACCACCCATAATGCTTCGCCCAAGGGCCTTTCCTGCCGTGTTGCCGAGCGTACCGACAGCTCTGCCGGCGGTGTTCTGGGCCAAGTCGCCAACGCCTTGGGTGAGGTTCCCTGGTACGTCCCCTACATTTCCCAAGGCAGGCAATGCCAGCGCCTGTTGCTGTTCACGTTGCTGACGTCTCATATCTCCTCGCTGGCCGCGTCGACGGGCCTGTCGATAATAAGCGTCTGCACTGGCAGGGGACGATGATGAGGCAGAGGATATATGCTCTGTCACTGATACAACGGATCGCTGGCGTTGCAGTGGCTGCTGCTGTTGCAGTTGCGGCTGCAGCTCTCCTTCGCTCCAAGATACCGATTGAGTCTCCCGGTCGAGTTGTGTTTCTTCCGTATCTGGAGACGGATCCATAGTTTCTGTTGCTTCTGGTGCCTCTGCTGCTGCCGCTTCACCCGCGTCATCTGCTTCTGCTGGCGGTTTCTCAGGTTCTGGGGGAGGATCCAACGGTTTTGATGCTTCCGGTGGACCACCTCGTCGCTGGAGCTTTCGAGGCTTTCGCACCCGATCAGGGTTTGAAGTAGAAGGCACGTTCTTTTGTGCGTCAGTGGTTGGACTCTGTTCTACAGCGTTTGCCATTGGCTAGGTAATGGACTGCAGATACGCTCGACAGGATATGTTAGGTGGTGCGATGGGTGGATTGACAATTATATAGAATAAACAGTAGTTGTTTTCCATACAAAATTGAGGTCCCGAATGGCGAAAGACAATATCGATCCGTTTGCGTGAGGCGAATGTGAACTGATGTCATGATCCAATCCCAAGGGGCAATACGATGCCATCCGGGGTTCCTTCTTCTTGAGTTCCAGGGTTCCGGATCTCCCCTAAAGTGGACGCGCATCCGAACTCCCTTCATTTATCGGGTCAACCCGTGATGATGGAATTTTTGAATCCATTTCATAGGTCTTAGCAAATGATTGTTTGGTAGCCATGACCCACTGTGCGGTCATCGGTGTCGCGCTGCGACTGTACCTTCTGGACTCGGCGCGTACATTCTTTGCGTAGTTCGCCTCAGCGATCGTCCTATACATTTAACATCTACTCCTTCTTTGCTATTTTTCCTTGCGACCTTTATTCACCATAGTACCCTTATATCGCGACGAACTTGATACCCTCAACGACGACTGCAAGGAACACCATCCCCGGTGATCAATAGAAAGAACAGCGAAGAGCCAGCGACTCTCACATAACTATGGCCCAACCCGCAGATCCCCAGCCAGCACCAGCTCTACCAGTTAGAACGCAGGAGCGTCAACGAACTCGGCGTAAGAGAGGAAATGCGCTCGACGATCGTGTTCCTCCAAATACTTCAACTGCACTACAACCATTGCGACGCCAAGCATCGCGTTCAACCTCTCCCGCCACTGATGCAGAATCCGTCGTAACAAGGGAACAAGCCAGGCAAAGAGCACGAGGTGACCTAGCGAAGAGAGATCCGGCTGGGCAGGAGATGACCCAGCCGTCGGAGGAAGAAGACACTGGGCTTAAGTTACGGCTGGAGTTGAATCTGGATGTTGAAGTCGAATTGAAGGCGAAGATTCATGGTGATCTTACGCTAGCATTGCTGTGAGTTTCCTTTATTTGCTAAGTTCTTCAGCACTTTTCCCTTAGAGTTTGCATGTGTGCGGAGTACTAATTCCGTGCAGGTCCTAGGCAACAAAGCAGGCTGTTTTAGATGATATAATTATGAAGGTTAATCCTTTGATATTACACATATCTCACCGAGTCTACGGTTCACAGCATGTATATGGCAGCGTCATAGCATTTACCTTGAGAGAGCACCATACGTTCAAGTTACGAACGTCATATGGTAGATTCAACTAGCGTCCACTCAGTAAACGATGAAGAGATCGATTATCAATAATAACCATACTTTCAAAGATTAACCCGATGTGGGAGGGTACTAACCCATGGACAGTCCGCATCGACGACCAGAGCCCTCGGGTCTCAGATCGCAGCTGCCTGCTGCCCCCATCCCTGCACCTCCTGGTTGATAGCTCGTACATTACAAAATATTATTTCTGTGGTAACAGCGGCAAGGTCTTTTAGCTGAACTCTGCTCAGCTAACTGGACCATATTTCTCTGATTCACACCGTGGCACTGGAATCGTATGTTCGCTGCCCATCGCGGGAAGTAGTCGGGCCACTGAACCGAGCCCTAGCACGCATAACTGAACTTTGATCTTCGGTATCATACATGGTTACCGTCGATGTAAACCGTGATAACCTAGAAGTTATGTCGATCAAGTGGCTTCCATTCGTACACAGCCCCACCAAATCAATCCTGGACTTGTAATACATGGAAATCATGACAAAGGTATCTTTTCCTATTCGCTATGCGGCTCCCGCCTACGGTAAACGTAAGTATATACGCAAAGTCGGAGTCAGTTGTTCAATGAATGCGGGGAAGGTTTGGTATCCCTAACTCCAAAGATGATCAGGCAGTCGTAGCCGATTTGTCTCCTCACTATCCCATGGTTTCTAAAGCGCCACTCACCCACATATCCACCATGTGGAGGGGGACATGGCTTCTAGCAGGCCTTTCGCGGTTGCCGTCTCGTATTTCTGGGTACCTGGTGATCAGATCGGAATGACGTCTGAGTGATCGTGCTGATGTGAACCTGATCGATCATGACAAGATGATCGACGATCAGTCAATGAGGATACATGATATATAGTTACTGGAGGAGCTTTGTGGTTTCATAGTGAATGTAACTACCATTTATTCCGACTACTGTTGCCTCGGGGATAGTTTCTACTTCTTCCCAACCAGACAGATCACGGGCATCAAGGAAAATTTTGGAATCCATTTTAGTACGGCATTGTCACAGCCACCGACGCAAATCAAGCAATGGCGGCTACCCAAGAGGATGCAAGGCAGGTGGAGTCGCTGGGGAAAGGAGATACCCTCAAGAAACCGTCTGCTATACGCAAGAAGGCGCCTCCGAAGCTTGCCAAGCTAGATAAGAAGGAAAAGGTGGATAAGCCTACCTTAGGTATGTTGGCCAAACGTGGACTCGGTTTAGAAATGTTTATCTAACGTTCGATAGATGAGAAACCAGAGAAAAAAGTGGAGACTGAAAACGTGGGAGATGTTGGTGCTGGTAAAACGCCTGAAGCGGGGCTAGAAGAACAAGTTGGGAAGGTTGAGGACAAAGCAGGAGAGGCAGGTGAAGAAGCAGAAGAAGAACTGGAAAATGAGGACATGGAGAATGAGGAGGAGGTGGAGGAAGAGCTGGAGCAGCAACGTGGGCCTGTCGAACAAAGAGAAGCCATGCCATCAGACACTGCGGCAGGTTCTTCGTCCACCGCTGGGCTAGCGGACAAGGGCAAGGGAGCAGCCGTGCAACTGGGCCGGATCGGGGAAGGCACTGAATCCATGAAGGATCAGGTCCCCACTGAAATGCCAGATCAAGTGCAAGAAAAGGCTGGAGAAGGCGTACAAGAGCCTACCGAAGGAGTGGTTGAGCCTGAGAAAGAAACTGATCTCGGAAATGGCATACCAGAACCACCAGATATATCGGAAGTGAAGGAAGCTGCAGTGAGCCTTGGAGACCTGAAAGGCCTCTCTGTTGGTGAAGGCGGAAATATTGTCAATGCAGAGGGGAAAACAATCGGAAAGGTTGTTGAGGGGGATCCGGATGACCTTGTTGGTCAGGTTGTTGATGCCGATGGAGAGATCCTGGACGAAGACGGCGACTTGATCGGTCGGGTTGATGTCGTGACTGAGAAAGTCGATGAACTGCCACAGGCCGATGAACTTCCCGAGGCCGATGAAGTGGCAGAACTGCCGCAATTGCCGGATATATCGACTCTCGAAGGCCTAAAATGCACGAAGTTCGGTAGTATCTTGGATACTCAGGGTAACCTAGTTGGGGAGTTGGTTGAAGGCGATGCAAAAAGGATCTTTCGAGGAGGCTTTGAGCTTGACGATAAGGGCCAGTTCTGGGACCACCGCGGTAATGTCATTGGCAAGGTACAGCCTGTTCTACCAGAGGCGGAAGAAACCAGCATCTTTGAAGGAATGAAAAATCTGTATGTTGACAAGGAGGGATGGGTGCTAGATGACAACGGTCAACGCGTTGGACAGGTAGTTGAAGGGGATGTTAAAAAGCTCGCAGGCCGCGCGGTTGACGAGGACGGCGACATTCTCGATCGTCATGGAAACCTGCTCGGTCACGCAGAACCCTGGCAGGAGCCAGAAGAAGTTGCGGACGAGGTAACGGAGGAGAAGCCGGATCTCAGTTGTCTGGCAGGGCTTAAGCCCACCAAGCTTGGCCTCGTGATTGGGCCGGACCAAGTGCCTCTGGGCAGAGTCGTTGAGGGCGATCCCAAACAACTTGCCGGCCGAACCATTGCGCCGGATGGTCTCATTTGGGGCGACAACGGGGAGGTCATTGGGCAGGTGGACCTGATCCCCGAGAACGAGCGAAAAGATCTCAGCCGGCCATTCCAGGGATGCACGGACCTGATGGTGAATGGATCTGGCTGGGTGGAGGATGCCGACGGGAACATCCTGGGTCGTGTAATCGAAGGGGATCCCCAGAAGCTCCAGGGATATGATGTCGATGAGGATGGAGAAATTGTGGACCAGCATGGGACTGTCTTGGGGCGAGCTGCACCATGTGAACCCCCTGCCGAGGAGGTGGAGGTACCCGATCTGTCTGCATTAGCTGGCAAAGTGGTAAACAAGATGGGCAATGTCGTGGATACGAACGGAATGGTATTTGGACGGTTGGTGACAGGTAACCCTCGAAAGTTGGCGGGCAAATCCGTGGATGAGCAGGGTCAGGTCTGGGATGCTGCGGGTCACGTTGTCGGCCAAGCCGAACTCATTCCTGATGCCGAGCGGGAGCGGCCAGAGGGACCATTCAGCGGCCTAGATGGCTTGACGGTGAATAAAGAGGGTCAGGTTGTCGACCCGAACGGCACACCGGTTGGTCGTCTAGTCGAGGGAGACCCTAAACGCCTTGCTGGGCGCGCCGTGGACGATGATGGAGAGGTCCTTGACTCGGCTGGGAATTGCATTGGCCGGGCTGAGCCGTGGTCTGCTCCAGAGGAACCGCCTAGCCCCATGGCTGGCCGTAAGGTTAACCGGGAGGGAGAGGTCCGCGATGAAGATGGCAATCTCATTGGCAAGCTCACTCAGGGAGAACTGTCGAACCTCATCGGCCGAACGATTGACAAGGATGGCTATGTTGTGGACAGTGCCGGCAATAGGATCGGGGAATGTACCTTGCTGGAGAATATACCCCCAGAGCCAGAGCCCGAGGAACCGGAAATGTCCCCCGAAGAGCGCGAGCAGCTGGCTCGACAGGAAGAGGAGAATGAGCTGGCCAAAAAGATGTGCTCAATTGTTCAGCAAGCTCTGGACTCCTTGGAACCCATGTGTCGAATGATCACTCAGGTATTCAACCATCCATTCAATGAGCATACTTCTAATAGGAACACTTTACTGACGCTGATTCGAACAGCATATCGAAAAGGCCAATAGTACACCCAAGGATGAGTTGGATGAAGAAGCACTGGTCAAGGAGGTAAAACCGTTGATCGAAGAGGCTGGCACCATTCTGCAGGAGTGCAAAGGAGCCCTGCGAGCGTTGGATCCGGATGGCCACATTGCTGCCAACGCCAAAGCCCGCAGTGCCTCCCAAGAAGCCACTCCACAGGAGCATCATCTGGCGGAATTACTGAAAGACTTGACACAGCTAGTGACGGAGACGATCGAACGGGGTAAGAGTATGATTGCTGACATGCCCCATGCGAAGAAAGAGATCAACCCGCTCTGGGCGCTATTGTCCGAGCCGTTGTTCCAGATCATCGCGGCCGTCGGTCTCTTGCTCAGTGGAGTTCTGGGTCTTGTGAGTAATCTTCTGAATGGTCTGGGTCTGGGAGGCCTTCTTCAAGGGTTGCTCGGTGGCTTGGGCGTGGACAAGCTCCTGGAGGGTCTGGGACTGGGCACCATCACTCAGGGGATCGGGCTGGGTGGAAAGAAATAGTGCTGTATATCTCTGAAATCTGGAAATCTCGATATGTGTTCGATCGGGCGTTTCTGTGTCTCTTTAGTGACTGGTTTTATTGCTTTGGGAAGAGAGGAAAATGAGGTGGAAGTGGAGGGCAAAAGGATGTGGGAAGTCTGTTTTAGGGATGCCGAGCGGCCGTAGGAAGTGATTTTCGACGGTTGGCCCTGATATACGCAAGGGCCTCGTCAAGGGCCTCGTCAAGAGGTGTAATATCATCCAGTCTTTGATGTGATATTAACCGCCAGCACAAGATATGTATGTCACATGAAATGCACTTATCTCTCCTGACTGATAGAGCAGCGCGCCAACTAGTAGCAATGACATCAATTTACATGGAAGCCTTGTGGGAGTGGCTCAGCACTGCCCCTTCAGCTCAACAGCAAGACACTCGCTAGATGCACTAGGCAGTGAATGCAAGTCGAGCTCCCCCAACAGCCATCCAGAAACATTCCATGTGTGATTCCAGTTCCTTTTCTGTTGGCTTCACTGACTGACGTGGGCCAATGGTGTTGCTCAGCCTGGCACAACCCAGAGTGAACCGCCGCAGCGACGCGCCCACAAGGCGCTTTCCCTCTCTTAGGTACCCTATCTTTCCCCTCTGATTGTATCCTTTGCTACACAAGGCTGAGGCAGCTAGTGGTGCCAGCGAAAAAGCTCTTTCACTTTGAACTTTCAAAGCTCCTTACTTATTAGTACCCGTTTTCTACTTCCTTTTGGTTTTGTTCAGTTTGTGTTACTCTTTTGTATCGTTTAACCGCGCCATCTCCTCGCCATCGTGGTACTTTCCGGACTGCACCTGGCTATTTCCCTTTTCACATTTACAAATCCAGATCTACTGGCTCATATTGGCATACCCTACCTTCTGGATCGGAAAGTCACCTCTTTTGTCGTTTTCGCCGAAAGATACAGATACCCATCTGCACCGTGATGGCCAACCAGAAGTGAGTGCAAGTCACTCGCAGATGATGCATACGAAGAAATCACTGACTTATCAGCACTAGAATCTGTCGCTATTTTGCTCGAGATGGAAAATGCAAGTATCGAAGCTGCAAGTTTTCACACGATACTTCCCGCGACAGCAACCGCAATGCGCCTCGCCTAAACACGACGAGATCCGAGCCACCAGCTAGCGAGAACGATTTTCGCGCCTGGAAACAACACCTGTGGAACCCCAACCGGGACTATCCATTGGGGCATCGACTTGGAAGCTTTCTGCGGGAAGCACAACGATTGATCGATCAAGATGTCGGGGTGCAGCAAGAGGTGATCCGCGCCCTGGCTGAGGAAGGCGGCTTGAAGCGCATGAAGGAGTTGATCGACGAAAACATCCTGGCAGCCCGGTCCTTTGCACAGAAGTCGGTCATCCTCGATCAGCAGGTGGTGCCTTTTCTGAACATCGTAACGCATCCTGGTGTGCGGGACTCTCTGGTTCTCGAGCAGGCTGTTGGAACGATCTATGCTTTCCTCTATGGCTTGGCGGGCAGACGGGCACTGGTCCTGCTGGGTTTCCTGGCAGACATGCTACCATACAACAAGGACCAGGTCACGGACAATAATCAGATCAACCGCCTCGAAATGTCTCTCCTGACATTCTGGCACATACTTGAGCTGAATTCAGAGGCGTACGTCCACGAGGGCCTCAAGCTATTGGCCAACCGCTTCCAGTCCATCGTGAAAGATCATGAAGTCTCGCAGGCGCAAGGTGCTCTGTACAATGTCAGGGGCTACTTGCAAAGAATTATGCATCGACTCAGTATCGGTGCAGCACTTCCAAGCATAGCTTCCTCTGGACAGCCCACCCCAGAGAGCGACAAGCTTCCCTCGTCATTCATCATCCACCGCACTCCCCCGGGGGGCCGCCACAACAACGATTCGGCGGACATCTGCGACATTCAGATCATGCCCACATCTGAAGAGATCCTGTCTCCACACACCGAGTATCTTCCCGTGAAGGACCCTCGACAGTGGCATATCAGCGGTGTCGCCGGGCTCCTGGACCGCAACTTCCGATTGCTCCGTGAAGACACGGTCGGGCAGTTGAGAGACGTCATCCATCATCAGCTTCGCCCCGAAAATACATCATACACTAGACAGGGTAACCAAGTCCGGACGTACGCATATCCGAACGTTAAGGTGGCTTCCTTGTCCTTTGATCGACATGCAGGGCTCCAGTTTACGATCCGATTCCCTCAGCTTGCGCAGGTGCAGGGACTGCGTGACAAGCAGCGTGAGGAATGGTGGAGCCAATCTAGGCGCCTACAAAGTGGCGCCCTTGTATGCCTCATCGATAAGAGTGGAGGAGACGTACTGTTTTGTACGGTAGCTGAGCCACCCAGGTTGCCGCCCGGCACACCTCAGCCCAAGGATTCCCCGTCTCTCTGGAAGGAGAAAGATGTCTCAACTGTCGCTTTGGAATTCGTCGACCCTACAAACAATCATGTGCAGTTTATTCTGGATCGTTATCGTCCGCGTGGCGCAGTCTCTCCCGTCACCCTAGTGGAGTTTCCCGGCATTCTGCTACCAGCCTTTGCTCCGACATTGCGCGCGCTCCAGAAGATGAAGCGAAGTGAAGACCTGCCTTTTGCGAACCTGCTGGCTCCAGCGTCCTCCGAAAATACGGACCAGGTGGCAGAAGTGCCTCCGCCCGCGTACGCTCTCAAGCCTGGGTTCAAGTTCGATCTTGGCTGCTTAATGACCGACGAGACCGAACTGCATCTCCGTCCCGGCCAGGCTTTTGACATGGAGAAATTTCAACAGAAGTCGATTCTTGATCCGGCTCAAGCCGTGGGTCTAATAAACACCCTTCAGCACCAGGTAGGTCTCATACAGGGCCCTCCCGGCACAGGGAAGAGTTACACTGGAATTGCCTTGATCAAAGTGCTGCTAGCCAATGCGGCCAAAGCCAAAGCCAACATTGGACCAATTATCTGCGTCTGTTATACCAATCATGCCCTCGACCAGCTTCTTGAAGAGCTGTTGGAAAAGAAGATTACGACACAGATCGTCCGAATTGGATCGCGCTGCAAGTCCGAACGCGTCGAGAAATACACCTTGAGCAAATTAGCCGACAGGCCTCCGCAGACCAAAGTCGAAAAGAGTTCGATTTATCACCTCCATGTTAAACTCGAGGAGTGTGTAAAGGAATTCGATGCTCTACGATTACATTCAGAAGGGTCTGAGGCTAACTTAAAGCGGTTTCTGGAGCGCCACAACCCCAGCCATTGTCGCCAGCTTTTTAGCAAGGATGAGGAGGGATGGAAAACTGCGACGTCAAAGAGGGGTAATAATGCATTTCGTCAGTGGATAAACAGAGGATTCAAGTCGACAGAGAAGCCCCGATCTATCGGTATCCTCGAGAATATAAAACTTGAGCAAATGAGCGGGAAGGAACGGCAAATGATCTATGAGCACTGGCTCACGGAGAATAGACGTCAGAAGCACGACGAAGCTAAGAACCTGGTGCATGAACAAAAGAGGAGCAAGGACAAACTGAACGATGTTCGACACGAGGTCGATCTGCGATGTCTCCGACAGGCACAGGTTATCGGGGTTACGACTAGTGGCCTCGCTCGAAATCTCAGGATGCTTCGCCGCCTTCAGTCCAAGGTAGTGCTGTGCGAAGAGGCTGGAGAGGTGTTGGAGGCTCATCTCCTGACAGCTCTTCTGCCTTCCGTCGAGCATGCCATACTCATTGGAGACCACCAGCAACTTCGCCCGCAGATTCAAGACTACAATCTTTCTCGAGAGAACTACCGAGGTGGTGAACAGTACTCTTTGGATCAATCATTGTTTGAGCGACTGGTTGATCCCGGCGAGGATGGCCCAGGGGTGCGGATGCCGTTTAGCACGTTGGAAACGCAACGCAGAATGCATCCTTCCATCGCACAGCTGGTCAGAGACACTTTGTACCCTCGCTTAGAAGACTCTCCCTCTGTTTTGGAATACCCGGAGGTATGCGGGATGCGCCAGAGGCTGTTCTGGTTGGATCATCAACATCTCGAAGCCGACAATTCCAGCACCGATGCGGTAAACACCTCACACTGGAACGCGTTCGAGGTGGAGATGACCACCGCACTAGTTGCTCACTTGATCCGACAAGGCTGTTATAGAGCGGGAGAAATTGCTGTACTGACCCCTTACCTGGGACAGCTCCATCGGCTACGGCGTCGGCTCAGCGAGTCGTTTTCGATCGTCCTCGGCGATCGTGACCAGGATGATTTGGAGGCGGCAGGACTCAATGAATCAGACGCAGGTAATACTCCGGTGTCTCGATCAAATGCACTACAGACCGTTCGTGCAGCCACCATTGATAACTTCCAGGGTGAGGAAGCCAAGGTTGTGGTAATATCGTTGGTCAGAAGCAATGCCCAGAGACGCTGCGGGTTTCTGCGCACCTCTAACCGCATCAACGTTCTGCTGTCCCGTGCAAAGCACGGCATGTATATCATAGGTAACGCCGCTACCTCGATGGATGTACCGATGTGGCGCCAAGTGGTGGAGATCCTGAAGGACAAGGACAACTTTGGCGCCCAGCTCAAGCTACAATGTCCACGCCATCCAGAGTCCCCTATTGCTGTTTCGGAGCCCGACCACTTCGTGCAATTCTCCCCAGAGGGCGGCTGCAATCAGCGCTGTGCCAACCGATTGCGATGCGGTCATGCCTGTAAGCAGAAATGCCATTCGACGCTGCTCCATGATGCGGTCTACTGCCAGGAACCTTGTCCAAGACCTTTGAAGGGATGCGATCATGCCTGCCCGAAGCACTGTGGCGACAAATGTCCCCAGCAATGTCAGGTGATTGTGTTCGACGCCAACCGGAAACTCGAATGTGGACATGCTGCAGTGGAGCTCCCCTGTTGGCAGGCGCAGGATCCCTCGCTGGTCAAGTGTCCAGTGCCGGTTGCGAAACAAGTACAAAATTGCAACCACACGGTGACAGTGCCCTGTCATGTCAACGTCGAAGAACCCACGTTCAAATGCCCAGCACTGTGTGGAGTCGTTCTTGCGTGTGGCCACCCTTGCCGACGCAAATGCTGGCAGTGCACTCGATATGATGGGGACAACAATGCTCAAGTCAACCATGGCCGATGCGAACAGCTGTGTGGACGCAATTACTCGGCGTGTGCGCATAGCTGTACTCGGATCTGCCACGAGCCGGAGTCCTGTCCTCCATGTGAGGCGCCTTGCGATGTTCATTGTGGCCATTCCCAGTGCCCAAACAAATGCTGTGAGCCCTGCGTTCCCTGTGCCGAGACTAAATGCCCATCGTCGTGTCCTCACAGTTCATGTACGCTGCCCTGTGCAGCTCCCTGCGACAATGTTCCTTGCTCCAAGCGCTGCGAGAAACTTCTGCCCTGTGGCCATCAGTGTCCCTCCGTTTGTGGCGAGACCTGTCCGCCAGCTCCTTTCTGCCAGATATGTGCTGCTCCAGAGGTCAAAAACCGCGTTGTTGATTTTATCCTCGGCGAGGTATATTGGGAGATAGACCTTAATGAAAACCCCTGCATCTTTCCTCGATGCGGACATTTCTTGACCATGGAGAGTATGGATGGCCAGATGGACATGAAAGGACACTATGAACTGGATGCCGACGGGAGTCCAGTCGCGATTACCGAGTCATCAAGGCCATTTTCCGTCGAGGACGTCAAAAGATGTGCCACCTGCCGGGGGTCTTTGCGGGATATTTCTCGGTACGGTCGGCTGGTACGTCGGGCTATGTTGGATGAGGCCACAAAGAAATTTATATTGTACCTCAACAATGAATACGTTCCAATGGCCCAGGAACTGCCAAAGCTGGTTACCGCCCTACCTGAAGCCAAGAATTTGACCGGGTCGCTGGCAATGTTCCAAATCGGTGAAGTCATCCGGGTTGAAGGCTCCGGTAGCCAACAAATCAAACGCCTGGGGGATCTCATGAAGAAGCACAAAATGAATCGCTGGGATGGACTACTCCAGTTGAGGAAGCGCATGGTGAAATACTATTCCAGGGTTCAAGTCGAAGAGCAACCCTTCAGTCGCGTTCAGTACCTGGTGGAGCACGCACGGCGGCAGAAAGAATCCCAAGGGACGTTCAAGTTTAATGAAAGTGTGTTGCAAACGAAGGGTGTTTTGCTGGCACGAGCACTTCTCATCAGGCTAGACATTGCACTGCTCGGCGACTTTCTCTCGCTTTACAGCATCGCAACTCCACTGTCCACACGGCGTGAGATTTTTGTCGATCTGCAGAAAAATATGGATGACTGCCATGGCCTCATCCAGCTTGCCAGCGAGCTGCACCGAGTCGCCCATCAAGTCGAGGGCTACATCTTCCTGGCGCAGCTCTGTGCTCTGCAGCGATCCCACATTAAAGATGTAGCGGATGCAGAGCGTCGGCTTACCGAAGGCTGTGAAGCCCTTGATGCTGCCGAGCAACTTTGTAAGCAGTATCCAGGCCAAACTCAGGGGTTTTCGGAGGAGATTGAAAGTGCCAAGGCGATGTTGAGAGGCTCAACTTTCTATAGCGCCGTCTCCAACGAAGAACGAATGGCAGTGATCACGGCCATGAACCGCGAATTCAGGGGCACTGGCCACTGGTACTATTGTCCAAAAGGGCATCCTTTCACGATCGGCGAGTGTGGAGGCGCGATGCAAGTCTCAAAGTGTCCCGAGTGTGGTGCCCCAGTTGGGGGCCAGGGCCATCAAACGGTCGACGGAGTTACGCGTGCGAATGACTTGGAACAGGGACTAGCAAATTTGAGACTTGAATGATGTGAGATTAGACAAGGGGATATTTGAAGGTGTTGGGAATGAAGTGGTTGATTAGCTGTTCTATGTTGTTGATATGTCATCTGTAATGTTGGTGCGCGATAACCCAGATAGTACTGTTAAGAGTAATCACACCCTTGCTTATTATTCTCTACCTATTTAATTAGAATCTATGGAATTTGACGAATGATATCTTATAAATCGTGAGTCGTGAAATAGACTTAGGGTGACTCATGTTGGCTCATGTTGACGGCGGATTACTCAGTTGCGGGAATCTCTTACCAATCGTGATTCCATCAACAACTCTCAGCAAGTATAAAATAAGCAGCAACCCAACTACAACCACCTACCAAGCATTGCATATTCCAAGTACATCAACATGACCACCAGCCGTCCTCACAACATCCTAATCACCGGAGCCTCAGGCTACCTGGGCGGAACTCTCCTCTCCCGCTGGCAAACAGCCCTATTGCCCTCCCACGGCACCCTGTATGCTCTCGTGAGAACCGAGCAACAAAGCAAAGCCGTGCAGCAATACGGCGCAACTCCATTATATATGAGTCTGGATGATGACAAGAACATTATCCAGACCATCGTCGAACATGAAATCTCCATCATCTACTTCCTCATCGACGCCGCCAGCGCCCGCACTCAAGTACCCATGATCCAGGCTCTCGGCCATGTGCGCGAGCGTACCGGAAAAAGCGTCCATTTTCTGCATACTTCTGGTGCTAAGCTATTCAGCAGTCATGCTGGACATCCGACCGATCGTGCATTCTCAGATGCTGATCCAGAACTGTATGAAATGCAGAGGACTGCCAAGCCGTCGCATCCATGGCTTGGGCCGGTGAGTGCCATCTCTTTTCTTTATCTTCACAATTGTTTATATACTTACTGGATCTAGGCTTTGGAAGCGAATAACACCGTAATTGCTACTGCAGAAGCACATGGAGTGCGCAGTTACATCTTCATTCCGTGTGTGGTCTACGGCCCGGGAGAAGGGTTCGGGAACCGCATCTCCATCCAGACGGTCGCGATTGTCAGGGCGGCTTTGAAAGCGAGGCACGTGTATCGTGTGGATTCGGGACGGCCTGTATGCATCTACTCCTAATCTCGTTTTGAGTCTTACTCTAGCTCAAGGCTAATGTGGCATAGGTCTGGCCCGTCGCTCATATCCAGGACACCGTCGGTCTGTATCTGGATCTGCTTCGGAAAATGCTCCTAGAGGAAACACTGGATTCGGGTCGACAAGGGTACTACTTGGCTGCCTCGGGCACTGTGGCTTGGGATGATTTGTATAGTGCTATGGCGCAAAGGCTGGCGGAACGAGGAGTAATTGAGGATGCTACGGTGGGGGATGCCAACGATGCTGTCCTAAAGCTGATAGGTGAGGCGCTGAGTCGTCCGAAGGACTTTGTGCCTGTAGAATTGGGCGGAGGGTAAGTTCCGAAGGATCGATGCTAGCGAGATGTACTTGTACTGATGTTGGTAGATGTGTGCTGGATGCGCAGCATGGTCGACAGCTTGGCTGGCGGCCTCGGTATAGCCCCGAGCATGCTCTCACCACGGCAAAGGACGAGGTAGATTGGATCTTGGAGCATCTGGACCGGACTTAAAAGGTGTGGATACCATGACATGAGCGATTGACCAAGAGTGCTTGAGGGGTTGTACATAGTATTGGTTGTGATAATTTTATTACATATGGACTATATAATTTCAATAATATCATATAGCCTCAAACAGCCGAGAAGGATTCAGCAAAATTTAATTGAGGGTATGCCACAAGGTAGCAAAAGTGTGCCTGTATTAGCCATCATTCTAGGCCATGGAAAGATCCCTTCTCACGCGATCATAGTTGACCACAGCCTCCAGCAGCGTCTGAGTACCGAGAGCACTAAACCCAAGTCAGCAACAATATCAACACACTACAACAACATACACTTACCAATCAGCCGGGCTACAATACTCTTCGGGATGATGGCTGACACCCTCTTTGCATGGTACAAAGATCATCGCCGTGGGACAATGCCGACTAGTATAAACACTATCATGACCGGCTCCGCTAGTCAGTTGCATCCACTGGTCCTTTCCGACCAGCTGCGTGGCTGCATCCTGGATAGCGGTGATGCAGTGCTCGTCAAATTTGACAGCCGCAGAATCCGTGTCCAACGTCCAATCCAGCGAGACGCCCTTGCCGTCCTCCTGCGCAATCTCAGCAAACGCCTGCAGACATTCGTCCTGCACCGCGTGCACCACAGCATCCTGGGGATGGCGGATGTCCAGGGTGAAGGTCACTTCGGAGGCAACCGTGTTGGTGGAGGAACTGCGCGGCAGCTTCATCACTCCCGTGGAGGCGAGTGCGCCATGTCGCTTGGCAATAGCGTTGGAGGCCACGATCATCTTCGATGTAGCAAGAACGGGATCCCGGCGTGCTGCCAGGGGGGTCGTGCCGGTATGGGCATCACGACCACCCACCGTGATGGTGAACCACCGGTATCCCTGCGCTCCACGCACGACACCTACAGACTTGCCCGCCTCCTCGAGTATAGGTCCCTGTTCGATGTGGAGCTCGAAATGAGCGCCCAGAGGGTATCCAGTCGCTGGATCATGGGAGCAGGCCACTGAACCGAGGAAGCCGTGGCGCTGCAACTCTAAGCGCAGGGTCACGGCCGGGTTAAAGATGTCTGTCAGGCCCCAAGCTTTCTCAAGGGGGATTTCCCCAGCCCAGACACCGGAGGAGCACATGGACTTGGGGAACCGAGCACCTTCCTCGCTGTGTGCCAGCGGTTAGAATGATGGTGTAACATCAATGGGTACGCAGGATTTAGACGTACTTGGTCCAGTTAACCAATCCGATGTCAAAGTTGGTTCGAAATCCATTCTCCTTCATAGTGCGCAAGACCTCCAGGGCCGCGAGGACACCCAGAATCCCGTCATAGCGACCTCCCCTAGGCTGAGTGTCAAGATGGCTGCCCATCGCCGTCATGGGCGCCGGGGATCCCAAGGATCCACGCTGTCTCGCAAACATATTGCCCATCTGGTCGACCGTAACTGTGCAATCCAGTTTCTCAACTTCTTCGCGCAGCCAACGGCGCACCTTGGCATCATCTTCGGTCAGGCAGAGTCGAGCCATGCCGGTCTCTGTCGATCCTCTGCCATTCCGCCGTCAGTTTGAATATTCCATCTCAAAGACTGGTGAAGTTTCTAACGGGCGCATAACCTACTCGCCATAACGATGGGCAGCCCCCCATTCACATGTCTGATGGAGAGTCTCCATGAGGCGATCTGAGTTGATACGGAGCCCTGAACCTGACGCGGTGGATAGCCAGCGGCGCGAGGCCGGGCGCGACAACTGGCGGGTAAGTGTACGGCCAAACATCGTCGGGGCGTAGAGGCGCAGCTGTGATTACTGGACTCTACCAGTTTGCTGGTAAAGCTCGAGACTTATATGCAGACGACCTACGTTGCTTTCGGAATGGGGGAGGAATTGAGTTTTCGGGTATGTCCTTGCGCCTTCTGGGGACAAGTGAAAGTGAGGGTTTGTTGCGAGAGGGCGCATCCCTTCTCGGCAACCGGGAATGAAGGTTCTTTTTCCCCGCCCGTTATATATGGAAGCGCACCATCCAGTCAGTGGGATAGATGAGAATTCAAAAAGGAATCTCATCATAATGTCCACTTTCCGCAGGCCGATCTACGTGAATCCCAGCTCGTCCACGACCACCTCGGCGGCCTCCCCGGGGGCGCTGGCCTTCCACCAACAATTCCCCGGCTATGCGCCGAGCCCGCTGGTGCCGCTGCCCGCTGTGGCTGAGGAACTAGGAGTGCGTGCTGTCTACCTCAAGCAGGAGAGCAACCGCTTCGGTTTACCCTCTTTTAAAGTCCTGGGGGCCTCCTGGGCCATCTACCAGGCCATCCGCTCGTTTGTACAGTTACCAGAGGGCACACCACTTGACACCTTGATCGAGCGGGTGCGCGCACAGTCCGCGCCCATTACCCTGCTCGCGGCCACTGAGGGCAACCATGGCCGTGCTGTGGCCCGCGTCGCCCGGCAGATGTCGCTCCAATGTCACATCTACGTCCCGTGCACAATGCACGCCTACACTCAGGAAAAGATCCGCTCCGAGGGAGCCGAAGTCAAAGTGGTGGACGGCGACTATGACCACGCCGTCGAGACCGCTGCCAAGGCCGCCAACCAAATGTCCCAAGGCATCCTGGTGCAGGATACGGCGCTAGAAGGCTATGAAGAGATCCCGGCCTGGGTGGTGGAGGGCTATGCCACCTTACTCCAGGAAGCCGACGCCCAGCTGCACGCCCTGGGCCTGCGGAACAGCCTCGTCGTGGCCCCGGTGGGCGTGGGCTCCTTCGCGGAAGCTGTCGCCACATACTATAAGTCGCGCGACACGCCCGCCACCGTCGTGGCCGTGGAGCCGGATACAGCGCCTAGCCTGACGCACAGCCTACAACAAGGCCATCCAAGCTCCGTCATCACTAGTCCCAGCATCATGGCCGGCATGAACTGTGGCACGGTATCGTCCGCCGCCTGGCCCCTGTTGCGGCAGCTAGTCGACGTTAGTCTCACCATTTCGGACTGGGAGAGCCACTGCGCCGTGCAAGACCTAACTGCCCAATCCATCGACTCCGGTCCTTGTGGTGCTGCTTCCCTGGCTGCCATCCGCCGGCTGAAGGCGGAGGCTTCACCGACCTCGACTTTTTATTCCCCAGATTCCGTCATCCTGCTCCTCAGCACCGAGGGCTCTCGTCCCTACGAGGTCCCAATGGATGTCTCCGTGGATGATCCGGTGGCACTGACACAGGTGCTCACGCGGATCAACTCCTCCAACCCCACGTTGTCCAAGACACAGGGCGCCGGAGAATCGGCCATCACCAACTACCTCTGTGCCTGGTTCGCCCATCGTGCCATTGAACACCATCGCATCGAGACGGCGCCCGGACGACCTTCGGTGGTGGGCATCATCCGCGGTTCCGGCGGAGGAGCGTCCGTCATGTTGAACGGACATGTCGATACAGTCAGCCTGACCACCTATGATGGCGATGCGCTCACAGGCCATCTGGGGGTGAAAGATGGAAAGGAGGCCGTGTTTGGTCGCGGCACGTTGGATATGAAGGGTGGTCTGGCGGCCGGGCTCTCAGCCCTTCTCGTGGCCCGGGAGCAACGACTGGCTGGAGATGTGATGGTCGCAGCGGTAGCAGACGAGGAAGATGCTTCGCAGGGCACCCAGGACGTGATTGCGGCAGGCTGGCGGGCTGATGCGGGGATCGTCCTCGAGCCGACTAACATGGCCATCGCGCACGCGCACAAGGGCTTTGTGTGGGTAGAAGTGGAGATCTTGGGCCGAGCGGCCCACGGGTCCCAGCCAGCCGATGGGGTGGACGCCATCTTGAACATGGGGCACCTGCTCCAGGCAGTGCGTGAGTATCAGACGCAACTGCCCATTGACCCGGTGCTAGGACCGGGGTCACTGCACTGTGGAGTCATCCAGGGCGGAGAAGAAGTCTCCTCGTACCCTGCCAGCTGCACACTGACTCTGGAATACCGCACTGTGCCGGTGCAGACCAATGAGATGATCCTGGCTGAGCTGGGTGCCATCCTAAAGCGACTAAGTGACGAGCATCCCGACTTCCAGTATCGAGAGCCGCGCATCACGCTTTGGCGCCCCAGCCAGCATGTTCCCAAGGATCATCCCGTGGTGCAGCAATTGGTCCAGCTGGGCACCGAGGTTGTCGGACAACCTCCCCGGGTCCAAAGTGCTCCGTTCTGGTGTGATGCCGCATTACTCACTGAGGCAGGGACCCCAAGCGTGGTGTTTGGCCCATCGGGTGCAGGCTTGCACTCGCGCGAAGAATGGGTGGAGGTGGACAGTATGCGGGAGCTGCGGGAGATTCTGGGGCAGTTTATACAGCAATTTTGTAAATAAATAGTGACAACATGATCAGGTATCATGTACATATGAAGGATATGATATAGAGAATAAAAGAATCGACCTGAAGAATCCCTGAGCAATTGTTGTTGATGATATGATCCACTTACTAGTTATGTAACATCCGGCGAAGTTGGTGGAGATTAGTCAGGTGGTGACTCAAAAGCCTTGTCTATCAGGCCAATCACCGGCTGAATTCGCCGACTTCCTCCCTAATATAGAAGGCGGTGAAATAAACTTACCCTCTTCTGTCCTCGCCTTTCCCCCATGTAGCCTTTTCCCTTCTTCGCCATCTTCTCCTTCATCTTCTCCTCTTCCTTTTTATGTGTAACTTCCCTCCTCTCTTGTCTTGTGGACTGCCTTCTATGTTTTCACTATGGCATTCCCCATAGTTCACTCTACTTAAAATAATTTTTTTTCAGGTGGCTTGTCCCCAGCTTACCTCCCTCCCCACGTCATGGCCAACTCCTCCGACGCTCCCCCGCCATCCACCGACGACGACCACTGGGCGCAATGGCTGCCCTCCGTCTATCCAGATGCCCTCCCGGGCGTGGTAGACGCGGAGGCTCTCTCATCTATGACTCCTCAGTTGCAGGATGACTGGGGCTTACTGGAGATGCTTTCCAGCGAAAACCTTTGGTCGACGCAGCCGGATTCCACTAACGACACAACGGTCATCCCCCCGCCCGATGACTTTGTCAATGTCTCTCAGTGGCTCGCTGGCGCATATAGTCCCCCTGTCCCCTGCATGTACTGTCAACAGCACCGACTGCAGTGCCTCGTCATTCGCACCACCCCGGCCAATCCGAATCCCGTCGCATCATGTTCCAGTTGCGTCGCCCTCTTCCGTGAATGCAGCCTCGCCCGCGGCGAGAAGCGCCATCCTGCCGGCTTCGAAACCGTCTTTCCCGTGTTCAATCATATCCATGGTGTCACCGAGTGGACCGAGGAGGAGCTGTTTCCTGCTCCACATGCATTACCGGTGTTGGATACACAGAATGGCCAGGCGCAATCGTCGCAGGACCAGGAAAGAAAGGAAGAGGACGGACAGCACAGGCCACGGTTTTCCCGAAAAGGTGCCAAAGTATTGCGGGATTGGCTTTATCGGAACCAGCATGCTCCGTATCCCACAGACGAACAGAAGGCAGCATTTGCCCAGCAGACCGGCCTCACCGAGAAGCAGATCTCCACCTGGTTTGCCAATGCCCGACGGCGCCATCGTATGGCCCACCGCACCTCGCGACCGAGTCAGATCTTCCGCAGCGGCTCCCCAATGCCCACTTCCCGATCGCCGGCCCTGACTCCAATGGAACGCTGGCAGCGATCACCACCGGACCAAGAACCCGTATCAGAGTCAGCTATTCAGCAAGCTATTGCCGCCGCCGGCACTGATGCCGCCTGGGATTACCCCAGCACCTCTGGCGGCGCGAGTCCCAGTTCTCGCCACTTCGCATCCTCCATCTCGAGTATCGACAGTGAACCGTCACAGGCGTCGTCCGGGAGCTTCTCATCCGCCTGGAGTCATCAGTCCGAGAGCTTTCTGCCGTTCCCCCTGTCGGATGGGTGTCCGCGAGCCCATTCCCGTCGCAGACGGCCCAGGCGCCAGTCGGCCGCGGGGAGCCCATATCAGTGCACTTTCTGTGTGGATATGTTCAAGAAAAAGCATGATTGGGTCCGTCACGAAAAGAGTGTACATTTGTCGTTGGAATCCTGGATATGTAGCGTGGGATCGGGCGCTCTGGATCTCGTTGGCTCGGAGGTATTGCAATGCGATTTCTGCGGAGCCTCTCCACTTACCGAATCTCATTTCTCGACCCATGAGTTCGACGTGTGCGCGGATCGCCCACTATCAGAACGTTCCTTCCGGCGTAAAGACCATTTGATCCAGCACTTTCGCAAGTTTCATCACTGTACCACGGTCCCTGCCTTACGTGTGGAGGCTTGTCGCGTCGTGACGAATGATGTGCAAAGCCGCTGTGGATTTTGTCAGCAAATCCTGTCGACGTGGGCAGCACGCGCGGATCATTTGGCAGAGCACTTCAAAAACGGACGGCGCATGGCGGACTGGTCGGGTGATTGGGGGCTGGACCCCTTGTACCAGGCCATGTTGCGGGATGCTGTCCTGCCTGCGGATCGGTCTGTATACGTTGAGGGGGGTTCTTGACCGTCGCAGATACCATATTCCAGGTATCGTAAGCATATAAACACCATCTACTAGTGGGCAGGTGGTTTTAGACACCTGACGGTTTTGGATAGAGCTGCTCTTCGAATTATCGACTCTTCGACAAGGGCTGAGGTTGGCCGTCTCCTCTGAAACTCCTAACCAGATGACTATACCCAGGCCGACCACGTGCGCGACTGCCAAACGCATCTATATCAAGCCTCCAGTGGTCTTGCCCCGGCGTGAAGATACGATCCGAGGCCTACTTGGGACGGACCTGCATCTGAGTCTTACATGTGCAGGAGCACCAGACTGGAATTTGCTCTCGATTGTCAATGCGTCGGATACTATGAAGAGATCAGCTTGCTGCACGTTCGCGGCATGTCTTGATTAACCTGTCGCGCCACTGATGCCGGCCAAAAACTTGTGTACGCTTTTGGTCTCGGTCTGAAGATATTCTAGCGTAGAGCAGGACCGTGGAGGACGTAGAAAGTATCGCATTATGGAGCTGTAAGAGCCGTGTGATAGTTTATGTATAGTACCCACAATCTCAATTATGGTCCAAGCGGAGCGACTATACATTGAACAATTCCTAATGGCTGGCAAGTGGACCGCTACTATCTTTTTTTTTTTTTTTAAATAAATAGCACCAGCATACTCTGTTTGTAAAAAGAGGGTATTTCCGACCGCTGAATTCTCATGTGGGTGGAACGAAAATACTGCGCTTCTTACCCGCAATATCTCTTGGCATCAAGTGGGCAAATTCGACTTGGCAGCAAGACCAACAACGTCAGCTTCGATAGACTTGGTCGTTCAATATAGCCCTGAATTATATGCAAGTAGCCTAACAAGGTAATATACATAGTACTACACAGAAACATTGCTGAACTGTTGATCCAGAGTTGTTTGTTGAAGTTCTGTTTGTGGTCATTACTAGTACTGCTAGTACCGACCCTTAGGGTTGGGAAATGTATATAAGTACCTAAAAATGTTTGGCACAGTCGCGCTATTTCTCTTCGCGCGCTCGTCTGGCAACTACTTAGTATAGACCAACCATACGTACTCAGCAGCAACTTATTTCCCACAAGAATATAAATAAGCCGGTACTTCGCCACTACTCCAAGCTTCATCGGTGTAGTGCGCACAATAAATAGGGTAACACAGCAGTGATGATTTCCGTTCGGGTAACCATTTCCCCGGGATATGCGGGTTTCCGCTCCGAGGTCCCGACAGACTTTGTAGGGACGGGAGCTACGCGCCGGCTACTAGTTGTGACCTTAACTCCAAGCAGCCTGGTGACCCACAACAGACCGGAGGCCAGACTTTCAGACCTATTGACACATAATCCACAGCATCATTCATCCGAGCCATCCAGGCAAAATCTTCGTATATACATTTGTCTACTGGAAGAATATATCACACACTAAGGGGCACCCCCAAGGCCCCCGCAGGGTGTATGCTTTTGTACAGAACCATGAGGAGAAGAGGTATCGTGCAAGAGTCGTCATCATGAAATCCGCATCACTTTCTTCAGCCCGCGCAGGGACACGGGCTTGACCAAATACTCATCCACCCCCGCCGACAGCGCTTGTTGCTGGCGGTCTGTCGACCCCAAGCCCGTCACGGCGATGATACGCGAGGGAATGAGGCCGTTCTTCTTTTCGTATCGTCGGATATGGTCCGTCGCGACGATGCCGTCCATCACTGGCATCGATATGTCTGTACAATACGGTCAGTTGCAGTCCGGGTGCTAAGACAGGGGAAGAGATGTCTTACCCATCAAGATGAGATCGTGGCGCCGCGTGGCTTCCTTGTACGTGTTCAGGGCTAGTAGTCCGTTGGATGCAGTGTCATAGCTGCAACCAATCTTTCGAATGAACGTCGCCAGAATCTATGAACCAGGATTAGTCATGGCATGCAAAAACGTTGGCAGGATTCTCGACAAACCTTCAAATTGATGTCGTTGTCATCTACGATGAGAACATGTATGTCCTTTGGAGCTTTACTGGGAGGATGAGAATGCGCAGGCTCCAGCGGCGTACAGGGGGAGGCGAAATCAATGGCCGAATCTGGAGCACCTGGCGGCGTCAGACCGAGCGATGCGGACAGGGAGGGCTGCAGTGGCATCGGTGCCGGCCGCGACGGCGGGCAATTGAGCGCAGCCTCACGGGCTAAGGTCTGCACCCGCCGGATAGCGTCGTCAAATTTCTGGGGTCCGAATCTATTCAACGTTAAGTCTGGACAGATCACGAAAGGGGTGTTTGTTATAAGGTCGACCTACGGCTGAGATACCCGAACAACATTTGGAGCCAGCGCCTCGATTTGCGGCAACGGCTTGTTGCTATCCAGTACAATGAAGTATTTGAAACCGCGCTGCACCATCACGTCAAGGGGAGATGGTTTGTCTGGCGTCGGGTGCAGATCACCCTGCTCAACCACGGCCACGTCGCCCTGCGCACGGTCCAAGGATTCGGCCAGTGCCAGCGTCCAGCCCGGTTGCTGAACGAGCACCGAAGTCAGGGAGCTCCGAATGGCCAGCTTGCGTTTGGCTTCGGCCGGCAGGATGCCCGTGGGGATCTCCCGCGGATTGGGATAACCGTCAAATCCAATCAGGCAGGCTGCCATAGGCGGCAGCGGCGTGGCGAGTTCGTCCGGGCTGCCGCGACGGGATGCCTGCGCCGCGCTAGGACGCACGGGGATATAGATGTCAACCTGGGTGCCCACGCCGACTTCGCTGCGTACGTCGATGTGGCCTTCTAACGAGGCAACCAGCTGGCGCACAATGCTGAATCCCAGCCCAAGACCCTCCGATAAAGCGTCTTCCTGCGTAAAAGGAGAGAAGAGCTTGTGTCGGAGGAAGTCTGGACTGATACCCGAACCCGTATCAGTGACCGACAGATGCGCCAAGACTGTGTGTGGGTTGGACTCGCGGCGGGCCTTGGAGAGCGACACCTCGACAAAACCTGCCTTGGTCCACTTCAACGAATTGCCCAGCAGGTTCATCACGATGCGTCGCCAGGCACCAGCTACCGACTGTATCCTCCACGTGCTCCGCTCCTGTACACGCACCACGACTGTGAGTTCCCCATCCAGCCGTATAGAGGTCGGCTGCGCTGGGCGTCCCGTCAAGGGAGCCACCGCTTGGGCCAATCGCTGGCCCGTGTACTGAACATCCGTGACCTCTTCGATGAGGTCGTCGAGGTCGAACACGGTTAGAAGGTTCGTCACGCTGGGTTTGGACTGGTCGGGGCTGGCCTCCTCAGTCGTCGTCAAGTTGTTGATCTTGGCGAAGTCCAAGCTGTTTGTGATTTAGCAAAGGGGGTAGTGTGGTGCTAAATTCATAAACGAACGGGCTAAAAACTTACAGGTGGTTCAAGGTGTCCAGCAGAGTCAATCCACAGCTCTTGACCATGTTCATCCAGTGAGCCTGACTCGAATGCAGCGGGGTTGTCTGCAGCAGTTCTGCGCTGGCCAAAATGCCATGCAGTGGCGACCGCAGCTCATGGCTAACGGAGGAGATGAAATCCGACTTGGACTGCTGGGTGCTGGCCCAATCCACGCGGGCCACCTCGGAGATGATGGAGTCTCCGAACACTTTAAAGTAATGTAGCTCATCGACACCCAGCGCGCGATTGCTGGCCTGGGTCCAGACCAGGGTACCCGCCAGCCAGCGTGATTGATTCCAGTCCCACAATGGGTAGAAGAGTACACAGTAGGCCTCGGGTAAATGCTGGCGCAGTCGACGGCAGATATCGGACATGGTATGATCTCCTTCCGACCGCTCCTCTAGCGAGGGCGACAGAGATTGGCCACCCTCCTCGTCAATCCAGTCGTGCAAATTGAAGAACTGGCCATGAGGGAAGGCGGCAATCATCTGGTTGAGAAGAGCCTCCGTGATGGGTTGATTGGCGCTCACCTCATCTTGATGGGCGCTTCCTAGTACCTCACACGGCTTCTCCGATACGTTGGAAAGGGAGCCCACGCCGGGCAAGTCGACCGGACTGGGGTAGGGATCGGCGAGGAACTCGGGATTGGCGGTGGTGGGGAGAGGCTCCCAGGACCCGGGCTGGCCGGGGCGAACACTGCTTGTTTCGTTAATACGCCTCTACGACCCTTGGGTTTGGACACGGTACTCACACTCCGGCGTTACACCGACTGGCATCCAGGAACACCACACCATCCAGATCCATCGAGTCGCGCAGGGTGAGGCTGGCGCGGGTGAAGATGCGAAATAGGCTTTCGGAGCGGGCCTCGCGTTCGATGACTGAGACGACCGGATATTCGGTGTGGTCGGACACCACGACGCTGGAATCGTGCGTCTCCGATCCGTCGGGCGGAAGGACTTCATCCGGGACGGCGACCGGGACGGGGCGTGGACCCGGTACGTTCACGGAGGTCGAGGTGGCGGTGATCTCGGAGCAAGTGACGGCGGAGAATAAAGAGGCCAATTCGCCCGTCATTTCGGAGGATGCGGACTGGAGCTGCGTAGGAGGCTCTCGCAACGGGTCGTCGGTTAACGACAGGGGCTGCGGGGGTGCAGGCTCAGTGCTGGGCACCAGCGTAGGCCCATGGCTAGGTCCAGGCACATTGGTCGGGTCGAAGGCGGGATGGTCTTTCACGAAGCTGGTCAGACCCTTGACAAGACTCTCGGCGCGGCGATGCGAATGGGAAATGCGAACGTGTTCGAGGTGCTGGGTGACGGCATCGGCCACCTCACGCAGGGAGGCGATCTCTCGATCCCCAAAGTCGGAACGAGGCTTATCATCGATGACGCAAAAGGAACCGAGAACATGACCAGCGGGACTGTACAGCGGGACCTCGGCGTAGAAGCGGAAATAGGGCCATCCGGTGACATAGGGACGATCTTTGAAGAAGTCCTCCTGGGTAAAGTCTCGGACGACGTAACGGGAGGTATTGGCGGTCACGTTGATGGAGTCGACGAGCTTGGAGGGATCCTGCCCGGTGAACAGGGCAATGGAATGAGGACAGACCCCCCAGACCAGGTCGAGGGTGCGGACCCCCAGGTAGATGCCATCATCGGGGTCATGCTGATCCTTATCGCGCAAAGAGATGGATTTGGTGGCTTCGGCGATCAGATATTGATTGGAGCCATCGATGATGGAGATGAAGGCGCGGTTGCAGGCAAAGCGAAAGACAGCCAGCTGAGCCAGCGCCGTGAGAGTGATATCGGACGACAGCCGGACGTCGGGAGTAGTGGAGGAGGAGGTATCCCCATGGGCGGCAGAGTGAGTCGTCTCCTCTGCGGCCGCTTCCAGACGGAGGGCGGGACGATCGACGGTGCAATAGTACCTAGCGCGACGACGGTCAGACTGTGTAAATATAATATCGCAGTTGAATTGGAGAAAAAGGGTAGTGATGATCGACATTGCAGAGAGGATCAGATCAGATCAGATCAGATCAGATCAGAGCTGATCTTGATCTGCTCTAATCCTGTCGGGGAAAAGGCGGAGAAAGTTGGATCAACTTACCGGGACAAGTCTCTGATTCTCTCCCGCTCAGCCTCAGGGTGCTGGAAGGAGGCCGCCATCACTCACGGGACGCTGCTGGCATATCGTAGGATGAGGAAGGGGGAAGGAAAATGGGAAGGGAAACCAAGCAAGATGAAGGTGAAGGAAAAACAAAAAATAGAAAAGAATAAAAACAAGCCGCCACAGCCGGGAAAAGCAAACGAGGGAAGAAAGAGGGAGAAAAAAAGAAAGATGGTGGGCAAACGAAGGAATGTGGGGAATTAGCGGCAGGGTGAGGAATAGTCTACTAGAGGGGAGGGGAGGGAGAGAGAGTAGTATAGAAGAAGGGAGAAGGGAGAAGGGAGAAGAGGGAAAAGGGAAAAGGGAGAAGGGAAAGGAAAGAAGATGGATGGAGAGAGAGAGAGAGAGAGGGATACAAGGAAGGGAACTCGGAGATAGCAAGCCGACTTCATTACTGCTAGTTGGTAGTTAGTTACTGTTAGATACTTACTGCTCCTACGACATCCCGGGCAGTTGGAGCAGGAACTAACTAAGCGACGTGTGACTGGCCGGCGTCCGAACCCGCCGCTGAGCTGAGAATCTCCAACCCGCCCAAAACCGGCTTTTTGCGCCGTCCACCTGCCTGCTCATTGGCGGCCCGCCCCGCTCTCCCCGCTGGGCCAGACCCCCGTCGACCTCCCGCTAGTCCCCTTTCAGCAAGGACGCCGTTGGGCCACGGCTGACTCATCTGCCGCCTGACGTCTCGGGCTTCCAACCGATTAGCCTGAGGCAGCAGCTGGCCACAGGTGATTCAGGCACCCGATAAATTGGGACGGGGGCCGATTGGACACTCAACCATCGCGAGCCCCAACACCTGCATCCTAAGGCAGCAAAGATGCTGTCATCACGATTTATTCTCTGCGCACTAACTATACTATACTCTGCATAGAGCACATATGACGGGCCAGGCGTAAAGTAGGCCGTTAGGCGCGGACCCGCCGATCGGAATCCCGACAAGCTTCCCAGATCAACCATCGATCTGCCTCTCTTCCCTCTCCGATCGAACAGAATGCGATCGAATATGCAAATCGGAGGGTGGAACCCTCCCCCTCGTGCGAGTTTAACTTAAAAATTACCCAAAACTTCGAAGTGCGATCGACCCGATCGGGGAGGAAAGCAGCCTTTAGGGTAACTTAATAATGACCAGGGCGGAAGGTGACCTCCGCTCAAGCCCGCCGTCAAACAAAACCACCGATCCGCTGCAGCGGAAACGGCCAACCCCATCCACCACCCCCTTGCCGCCTCTCCGTCTATACGCCTGACAGAATAACTGCATTGAACTTCAGGCTATGTGATAACTACTCTTGTGACGGCGACACTTACCACCCTAATTCAAGGATAATCTTGCATGTGCTCGAAGGATTGCGCCATTGTTGATTTCTAATCAATCTTCCCCTCCGCATTTGTAAAACACAAATGATATATTATCAACCCCTACAATGTCTCTAATGATATATTATGCATCATGCATCTCCGACAGGGGGAATAAACACTCATGGTTGTCTTGAATCCACATAGATCCATCTGCAATTCCATTCTCCTGCCAATATGTCCACTACCCCCCTTCGTACTGCTCTAATCGGCTTGTCATCCTCTGCCATCACCTCCTGGGCGGCCGATGCCCACCTGCCGGCAATCCAGAGTACTGCAGGTCGAGAGCTCTACCAGATCACATCTCTCTGCAACAGCAGTGTGGCCGCTGCAGAATCCGCCATCCGGACTTACCAGCTGGACCCGACCACCGTAAAACCTTATGGCAACCCAGATGATCTGGCCGCCGATCCCGCCATCGATCTCGTCATCTGCAATACGCGCGTCGACAAGCATTACGAGACCGTGCTGGCCAGTGTCCGCGCTGGCAAGTCCGTCTATATCGAGTGGCCCATTGCTAGCTCGCTGGCCCATGTGGACGACCTGCTCGCCGTAGCGGGTGCTAGTGGGGCGCGGGTGGCCGTAGGCCTCCAGGGCCGCTTTGCTCCCGCCGTGCTTAAAGTCAAGGAGATCCTGCGCTCTGGCCAGCTGGGTCGCCTGCTGAGCACAGAGGTCCGTGGCTTTGGCGGCACGTTCGATCGAGAGTTTCTGCCCCCGGGTCTGAAGTACTTTTCGCAGAAGGAAGTGGGCGGCAATCCCATCGTCATTGGTTTTGGTCATAGTTCGTCTTTATCCCCCTCTTCTTCTGGTGCTAGCCGTTTGCGTTGAGCTCAGAGCAGCTGTAGCAGACTAGCACTGACATGAGGATAGTGATTGATTATGTCCAATCCGTCGTGGGGAATGTGGTTGTCGGCACCGATGAAGCGCGTACCCAGATCCAGCGGCCTCGTATCCGCATTCGTGATCCCCAGACACGGGAGTTCGTGGAAGTGGTTGACTCAGATGTGCCGGATTTACTGAGTGTGCATGGTATGACCTGGAGCCTGCCGCATTGCTATGAAATGTTGCATGGTACGCTAACAGGCGACAGGGTCCCTGCCTGAATCATCCTATACAGTCCCTGGGGCCAGTCTCGTGGCATATTTTGCGCGAGGTCAACCTTTCCCGGGAGACCCATCGCTCTCGTGGACGCTGAACTGCGAAGCGGGAGCCATTCGTTTGTCGGCGCCTGCAGGGATATCGCTGCAGGCGGACGCGTACCAGAACCCGGCGACCATTTCGGTTCACCACCACGCCACGGACACAGTGGAGGCCGTGGAGTGGTCGTGGTCGGAGGACCAGCTGGAGTTGCCGGTCATGGCCCGTTCCGTCCAGCGGACCCTGATCGACTTTGCCAAGGGCAACCCCGACGGTTACGTGTCGTTGGAAGACGCCGCCGGTCGGGCCAGGCAACTGGCTCGGTGGTTGGATGGCTTTAACAAATGATATTCTCAGTCGGTGGACGCACTTGTCAATGCTGATGCATAGTGTGTGGCCCAGATGAGTGCATTACGTAGCTCAGATTAAGACTCTGTTGTGGATAGTGTTCAATCCTATTTTATAGGTATTGGTCATGTGCGATTTGATATATGTGGTTTACCTGCTCGCTGCAAGGTAAAAGTAAAGGTTATGCTGTCTCGTTCCTCATATTGTCCACAGGTTACGAAGATTCAAGGACACTTAAATGGCGGACAAATGAGAGCTCTCGGTAGAAGGTACAGATAGGTTTAGAAAATAAAGAAGTAAAATTTGCCTAAGCGGCTAGACACTTTATTCAAGGTAAAATGACCCGCTCATCCCAGCTATATCGCACATCTTACATGTTCAGAGCAAAGTAAGATGTCCCAATCTGCTCCTGGGACCAGCTCCTCATGAACCCCTCCCAATCAACTGCCTTGACATCCGGATAACGGGCATTGTCCAGCTCGCCCCAACAAAGGTCTGTCCACTGACCCAGTAGTAGTGAAAGAACCTATAAAAGTAACCCTCGGTTAGTCGAGATTGAGAGGATGAAACAGGAATTGAAAGTGTGGACTTACAAGGACATATAGCTGTAAACATCCTGAGGGCTCGTCGTCCGCTTATCATGCATGGTCTTGTCCAGGTCCTCGAGGGATCCGCGGTTTTCCAGTGTAACAGGAGTGCCGTAGACCTTTTCATACGACTTGGCAATCTCCTGGATCGTAGCACGGCCTCCGACAACTGAAGGCAAGAAGCCCATTCATTAGCACTAGTTCTCAAGAGGAATATTGGATTGACGACTTACACTTCAGCACACCCTTTGCTTCCGAATCCAAGACCACCTTTGCCGTGTACTTGGCCGCATCGTCGTAGGTCGTTCCCTCCATGATCTCATTCCCATCACCCCAGTAGCGGAAGGTGTTGGTCTGAACATCCACAATGTTGAAGGAGGGACTGAAGATGGGCCCCATGAAGCCACCGATGAGAATATGCCCTCCCGCAACCTTCGTCTTTGTATCGAGGTAGTTCTTGATGTGGATCATGGGATCCTTGGGGAACAAGTCGCCCAACTTCAATTTCGTGTAATCCAGTGCCCAGTCGCTAGCCACGTAGCGCGGAACATTGGCCGATTCGCAAGCATCAATGAGAAGTTTCTGGCCATCCACCATGAGCTTGTCATCGCCCAGGTAGCAGCAGACAACGACATCGCAGCCTTGGACGAACGTGGCAATGGCGTCCTGATCAAACGCCGTACCTTCAACCGGCAAACATTCCTTCTCCGGAAGGCTCCCTTTGAGATCCTCGCCGTCATCAGGAACACCTCTTCCGCGTCTGCCCAGAAGCTGGCTAGTTTGTCCGCAAATATCAAGTTGGTGGAGGGTGACCTTGATGACCCGAGTGCCATCTGCCGCAATGCTCAACGCTCAACGACCTCGCCCATCTGGGGAGTATATAGTGTACAGGTAGGTCAACGGGCCTGTCTTTGGTCTACATAGATCGCTTTTTTTAATTGACTGCGTCTCGACAGGCCGCAATTGGCAACAAGGCGGAAGAAACGCAAGGAAAAGCGTTGACCGATGAGTCTATTCGACAAAAGGTTAAGTTCTTCGTCTACAGCCCCGTTGATCGCGGCGGCGAGGAGCACTCGCTTGAAAATCCCACCAAGATACCCCATTTCATCAAGAAAGATAATATTGAACACCATCTGGTCAACTGAAGCAAAGATGGCAACATGGACTCGGTGATCCTGCGCCCGGCTGCCTTCTTCGAAAAGCTGACTCCGAATTTCTTCGACAAGGTTTTCACCACATGCTTCAAGATGGCATTGGCTGGAAAGCCGCTGCAGCTTGTCGCCACAAGCGACATTGAATACTTCGGCGCTGAAGCTTTCCTCAATCCGGAAAAGTACAAGGGGAGGACCATTTCTCTTGCCGGTGATATGCTCACCTTCGAAGGGATGGGGTTGATCTTTGAACAGAAGACTGGACAGCCACTGCCCATGATATTCCGCCCGATATGCTCGTTCTTCATGGCCATGATGAAGGATATGGGATACATTTTCCAGTGGTATCGAAAGGAAGGATATAGGGCTGACATTCCGAGGTTGAGAGAGACATATCCCAAAATGATGGACTTTGCAACCTGGTTGAAGAAGGAATTGGATTCAAGAGATAGTCGGATCTGGAAGGCACATGTGATGTATAGTATAATGATATACCCAACAGCATGAACCGAGTAAAGGAAATTGTGAAATATCATCTATCAGAATTGCTTGCCTTTGACGCTGGTGTAGTAATCGAAAAAGATATCTTCGGTACACATCGATCTCTGGAATGATTATCTGTGACGCATAACGTACATCTATCTGCCGACCGGTTTAGCTCTTGGTATGGTATTTCCCTATCAAAGCTCATCATGTCTAGTCTTTCTACTTTCGCGCATCAACAGAAGATTCTCCCTCCGTGTCCACGCCAGTCTCGCCGCACCCTCCGCCACCATAGTGATATCCTTTAACGACCCAACAATAGGAACGCCATGCCCGATAGCCTCCTGCACGGCACGGTGCACAAGCTCTCCATCGAAATAATCGGTCAAGATGATCGCGTAGTCCACTCTCTCTTGTTTTGTTGCTTTTCTCGTTTCGTGTGGGTCTGTAGGAAGTCAACACTGATACTCATACGGGGCTAAGTGGTCCATGAGACATACCCGACATAGCTTGCAAATAAACTTGAATATTATTTGCCAAAGTTTCCATGTAGTTCTTCTCAGCTGCCATGATCTGGCTACGCGTAAGAACCAGGTCGGGGATGTTCCCATGCGTCCACCAGGAATCTAGATTTAGCGGAAGTTCGTCGAGCGTCTCCCCGTCTTCAAAATCTCTGTTACCACCGAGCTGATCCTCCAGCAATGGCTCGAGCCCCAGCAACAGCTCCACTGCCGGATCATAACCCTTCAACGTCAACCTTGTCTTCAGCACCGCCTGTATCAAGAATCCGTTATCAAGACCCTGAACAACCAGGGTTTTCAACTGAGCATCACCGTCAACAAGCTCCTTCACAAGGCGGTACTGAATCCTATCCCCACTCCACGGATCTAAGGGAAGATATGGATACACTGACTGGCCCTTGCGGCGGCGCTGTGGCGACCCGTCGTACAACTGAACACCACAATGGGTTTCTCCCTGGTGGACAACCAGGACACGATCATCCTGGTCGATCGCCGGATTGAGGTAGTGAGTGCAGAAGGAGCGCGGGGGCACGGCACCCTCGAGGATGGTGATGCCCACCTGCTGCCCGGCTTGAATAACAGTCTCTCTCAGCGTGTCGTTGAAGAAGTCGGGTACGCCGACCACGGCCCAGGTCACGTTGACGCCGTGGGCTGCAAGGGAAGTAGCCTTGAGCTCGGCGAGTACTTCCGTGAGTGTTTCCGTGACGTCGGATAGAGACAGTTTCTGCTTGATCAGGCCGCGCGAGACGAGGAAGGACTTGGCCTTTTGTTGGAGAGAGACGGGGATGATCCCGTAGACAGTGTCAGACATCGAGCGGATCGAGTCTTGAGTCCAGATGACGTATGCGTTGCTTCTGATGGAGACTCTAGCATCGATCACTTCGAACAAGCTCCACATGACGCTGGTCAGGAGCGCCAGCGGTGTCGACCTAGATCCGCTTCTCGGCTTCCCAAGCCCGGATCGCTGAAAATGGTCCATGGACAGTTCTTCGATCTGCCGCTGGTACTCCTTGTGATTGACTACCCCCAATAGGGTGAAATTGTTTATAGAATTTGCGTAGGAGGCAAAGACAAAACGATGGCCGAGGTCGATGCCGATGGGATCGTTGGGAGGAGCATTGTCGCAGGTCTCTTCTGCCACAGCCGCCGTGGAAACACACCACCACGACAGGACCAGAAGGAGTTGCGAGAGGTTCATAATACGGATGAAAAATTTTTAAATTTTTTTTCTTCATATCATTTTGCTCTTTGCGGGTGGCGGGTGGTTAGCCTCATTTATAGGGAAGACGGTGGCCAGGCAGAATCGGAGCTAAAGACCCTCGTGCCTGAACCAAGTGGATCCAACCCATCAGGGTCTGCACCCAAACAAGACTAGCTCGTCTTGGTTGTCAGACAAATATATTTTATATCAAGACAATGCTGCTGGACATACTGCATATTTACATACACCATCAATTCTTTCTCAAGGTCATAATGAGCTCAAAGTCCTCCATTTTTGTTCAACAATGGTTCCACCTGGGAGATGAGCAAGCCAGATTGAAACTGAGAAATACCTGTCTACTAGCGTACGTACTCTCGGAATATAGCAAAGAGGGTCGCGAAGATCATTACTCCGACCCTTGATCCCTCATCTATGCCCCAGCTTGCTCGCATTGTCATCTTTCGTTCGAAGCTTCTTCTCTGCTTGCATACGATGTTTTGCATTGAGAAGTGGGCGTTGACTGAGGTCAGGTTCCGGGAAAAAGACATGCAAGCGGCACCGAGCGATGACCAGAATCCAAGTACTACGGTTCGTGCATCTCAAAGTCGGACTCGCAATCAGTCTCACATCCTTTCAGATGCCGGCGGAGACTGAGCAGCCCGCGGGCATCCAGATAGTCCGGCCAGCTCGCGTACCAGTCCAGAAACTCAGGGATCGAGTCAAAGCGCGGCTTCCGTCCATAGAGCACCTGTGGCTGCAAGATGCCCTCCTCCTCCATAAAGACCACACGCCAACCCCACTCCCGGATATTGGGGGCGTCCTGGACGCCTTCATCCTGGTAATGGATCCCCTCCATATCCTCATCTGGACTCTTCCGGCAGTAGAGATACGCGCTGTACCATTTCGGATACTCCCCGACGTAGCCGGTGCCCATGACCACGCCCGCCCAGACATCCAGATCCACATCTGGGGAGGCCGGAATCTGGACCTTGTTGATCAAGTCCGTGTACTCCCCCTCCAGCCCGCTCCCGCAGCCACGCACATTCCTGGCGTACACGTGCATGGTACTGGTCCCGCTCCTCCTGTGTATCCAGACAGGGGAGGGTGCCATATCGCGTCTGTACGAACAGACCTGCCTCCAAGGGGGCGATGCCCGAGTGGCGAAAGTCCGGGTCTTCCACCTCATGGGCATACGCCAAGAGCCGGCCCAGCTCCTCACAGCGCGGGATCGGCTCCGAGGCTAAGTCTAGATACTCGCCCTCGGCGGCCGCCCACTCCTCCGCCTGCCGTTGGAACACTTCCTGTAGGGTGTCGAGAAAGATCTGGCGGGCTTCTGGTGTGCGCAGCCGCGGCGGGTGGAGCCCATCCAGGGAGAACAGGGGGAATGTGTCCTCGACCAGCAGCGCGGGCACTGCCGCCAACTCCCGCGTCTGCCGGAACTGGTTTCTCTTGCGGCGCTCCTCGGGATCGTTGTCACTGGCCGCTTCGTCTCGGTTCAAGTCCTCAAATCGGCGCCAATCCCACATCTTGCGGATTTTTTCCTCCTCCGTCGCGAGCCCGCGGGCGTTGATCTCATCGATGCGGTCCTGGACGAATTGTCGGTTGGCTGCTGCCATGCGTGTGCGGTACCGATCAACGGCCTTTCGCATGGTCTCGTCCGCGTCGTGGGACGGTGGGTTGGTGTTGTTCAGAGCGTTCGTTGGCATACTGAGTCACAGCAGCTTGTGAAGGAGGTGGTAAGGATTAGAAAGAGAGGAAGAGGCTCTGAAGTGGGGAATTCCTATATAAAAGGCTGGGTGTATTTAGGCTTCCAGCTGCAGCCTAGACTGAGAAAACTATAGTATCCGCTACCGTCCCACTTTCCACTTTCCCTGAAATTATCTTGAGACATTTGGGTCACCCCGTTTGCTCTGTAGCCTGGAATATGTCCGATACGTTCGCCATCAGAGTGTCCTCCAAGGTAGACCACCCAGGCTTTCCCATTACCCTCAGTAAATCCTGCGCACGGGCATCCGGCCCGATGTCATAATGAACCATCTTGTTGGCACCTGGCAGTTCGCTTGAAAACTCACGATCGGGGAAAGCTTACTGATATATGGACACGACTTCGTGCCATGTAAAGGGGTTCCCAAAAGCGAAGAGACGCTCATTCTTCACTTCCGGGTGGGTGAGACCCGCCACATGGAGAAGTGCAACATCCTCCACATCAACGTAGTAGGCGCCTGTGATTCTATGTCAGATGTATTACTCAAAACCTGGAGTACAGAGCTGAGATACCTTTAGGTATGATGTGCTGCAGGAATGGCCAGACCTGATCAAACTGGTTACGAAAAATAGCTGCGGGCCAGCCAGATGATGAGGAATGGCCCTGAGAATTAGCATCGATGGAGGCCCCGAAGCATACAGACGGCAGGACTGAATGACGAAGGTCAGCTAATTGTCAAGACCCATACAAATAGTGCGTTTGGCTTACCCGTATTTATAAAGAACCCCGGGCGATTCTCTGCTGCCCACTTCCATATCTCCTGCTCACCCAGAGTCTTGCTGGCGGCGTATATGTCGAAGCCTTTTTTTCGGACTCAAGGCGTTTGTCTGGCTTCTGCGGACAGCCTCTTCATTCCACGCATTCGCAGATATAGACATGCTTGACCCCTCTTGGTGCTCCGAGAAGGATGAGAGGGTTGCTGCCTCGGACGAGGAAGTGTATACGAATCGCTTTATTGTGTCTTCTCTCGCTGCGCTGATAAGGAGGCTTCGATTAGTACTGATAACCCCCGTGATCAATACGGGTGTGTGGCCCAGGATAGTTGCGACGTGGGCCACGCCAGACATCCCTGTCGTTGTCGATTAGTCCTGTGGAGCAAACCTGCCGAGCTGTTATGCCTGATCCACGATTGTGGAAGAACTTACCTTTGACTGCTTGGTCGAAGGCACCAAGCGCAGTCATGTCCTCAACCCTGGCTAGCTCAAACCGGTCGCCACCATACTTCTCGTGGGACAGGTGTTCAATCCATTGGCTCTTAGATGGGTCCCGTACAGTTCCACAGACTTTGTAGCCCTGCTGTAGGAGCTGTTCCGCCATGTGAGAGGCGACATAGCCGTTGACACCAGTAACTAGAACACAAGAGTCTTTCGGGATTCCAGTATTGGTGGAAGCGGGCGCCATGTTGTTTCAAGGTAACTCTTTTAAGGGGGAGGTGGAAGTGAAAGGGATCAGCATACCCTTGTTTATATGTATAATCCTTACCTCGTTTATCTAATTCATTTTGTATATGATGGCATTCTTAACATGACATCTATTTCGGCCCCGAGGCAGAGATGATGAATGGTTTTGCATGATTTGACTAACGGTGCCCCTTTCGGGGCTTCGTTTTAATGCCGAACGGCAAGGGCATGTATCCTTATATGACAGCATGGCTTCTGAGATTCAGTGGGCTTTCTAGTTCTATCTTTGACTGGGTCACGCCAATGCTTGTTAGCATACCGGCGTGATGAACACGGCCTTGACTACACGCAGTTGCCGGCGTTGCAATCAGAAGAAGATACGATGTGATAAAGCCCGGCCTTGCGCGAGTGGCGTCAAGTCGGCCTCGGAGTGCGTCTTCCCAGGCCCCGATCGAGCCACGACGCAAGAAACGGTCACTGAAGGCTCAACTGGTTTCACGCCTGAGGGCCCTGGAGAAGGAGGTGCAGGCTCTAACCGAAAAGCTGGAGACTGTGAATTACAACCCAAGGCATCACCCCCAGCCAGCAGAGAACAGCACCGCTGTGAAAGGCGAGCGCGGGAAATTGTTTGTGGACAGAGGATCCTCCCAGTATATCAACCACGAGGTGCTTGTTGACTTAGAAACACAGGTTGGTAGGCTCTGCGAATGTGGCACTTGCAATACTGACAAAGGGCGCCTTGCCGGGTCGTACCGGATGATCGAAGACAGTCAGCACTGCAAGCATCGCCTTGGGAAAGCGAAGGATGAGTCTGGGACGCAAGAGGTGGCATCAGTCGGCAGGGAGCATAAAATGGTATCCGGCAATGGATTCGTATTCCAGTATTCGTCGATGGCAGTTTCCCTATCCGACTTTTACCCCAGCAGCGTCCAGCACTCTATCTTATGGGACTTGTTCGAAGAGAATGTTGCCCCGTTGAACATAATCTTCCATAAGCCATCGCTTGCTAAAATCTTGAACAGTGCAGCTGCAACGACTATTCCCGGCGACAGGGCCTCTGAGGCTATGAGGTTTGCCGTATACTTTGCTGCTATCACCAGCATGAACCCAGAGCGGTGCAAGCATGTATTTGACCAGGAACGTGGGAATCTGCAGCAGCACTATTGATTCGCTACACAACAAACATTAGCGCGTGCCAACTTTCTTCAGTCGCACAACCTGACCGTGCTTCAGGCCACAATCCTCTTTTTAACTTCTCTACGTGGGGAAGACGATGCCGCCTTCGCCTGGGTTATGACAGCGGCTGTACATCGCATAGCACAGGGGCTAGGGTTACATCGTGATGGTACATACCTTGGATTAAACCCGTTTGGAGCAGAAGTACGACGCCGGATATGGTGGGAATTATACTTATTAGACTGCCAGTCTTCCGCGTTTCGTGCCGTTGGTACGCAAATCAAAGAGGGAACATACGAAACCAAGTTACCCCGGAATATTCATGACTCGGATATACCGCTCGAATCAAGGTCGTTCCACAACGAAAGATCCAGCTTCACTGATGTGACATTCTGTTTGATACGGTGTGAAATGACAATGCTCACATTGACAACTTCACTCAGATCTGCATAGTAGCAGCGGCGGTCACGGCAAAGACAGTTCACTGGACAGGGTAGCAAGGCTTCATGGACTGAAGCAGATTCATAGTAGATTGCGCAGACGATACCTGGACTTCTGTGACGTCTCAATTCCGTTACAGTGGGTAACAGCCACAGTCATCCGCCTGGCTCTTGCCCGATCATAGTTGATTGCTCATCTCCCCGAAGGTATGTCCGCGGCAGAGCAGACATTGGTGCTGTCGAATGTGGAAGCACTTAAACAGGAACGGATCTTTGAGACGGCAATTGAAGTACTAGAGTCTGCGAATCTGCTTGAGACTGACCCTCGCACCAAGCGTGGTCATGGCTCTTCGAGAAATACCCGCAATGGCATGCTGCCATTTTTGTCCTGAGGCAGATTGGCGTTGTGCCACAAACAATGCTGACTGACCGAGCCTGGGCTGTAGCATCCAAAGTCGTTGCACGATGGAGAAACAATGACTTCCAAAAGGATGGGGTGACCTCAGCATTGGTGTCGCATCTTATGGAGCAAGCTGCAGTCGCACAGGGATGCATCGGGGACGGAGGAGAGATCAGAGACGAGCCACGATCACCGCCTGATATTGTATCATAAAAAAAATTAGCTAGTGTATCGAGTGCTCAGCTGATAATAAACTGATATCAAGGTGATATGAAGTTTCATTGTCTGGCTTTGTGTCCCGGAACAGACCGAGGCTGAGTGCACCTGTCCCGCAATGAATCTTGTCAAGGTATATTCTATGCGAATCTAAAGAGATATATGATGAAGCAATGGGCATCAGCCGCTGCCCATATGCCATCGACAATTTTCCCACATCCACGCGAGTTTGAGTGAGGAGAATGGTTGGCTTCCTGTAGACGTCTTGGAGAATACACAATTCTGGCAATATGTGACTCACTATGAATACCAACCATTTCAACCACCACCGAAGCCATGTGAAGGGGGCGAGAGAGTACTACTACTACCTCGAGGCTATGGGCCCAGCCCCGGGTGACAATGTCAGATATATTTATGATGAACACGTCAACTTCCCAGGATCGGGCATCCTGTCATTCTTGATAATATGTACACATCTTTACAAAATCATCCTTGCTTTCTTGAAGATTCCACCATTCCATCTCGGCAACCCGTCTACTGCACCACAAACTGGGTGGAATGATCTTTGTACAGCACACTGGAGTCCAGAGTCTCTCCCGTAGTAGAGCGGATAAAGTCAACCTGCAAAGCCGTTGAGTTCAGAAAGCGCAAGGTGCTGTAGCTGTAGTCATCGGCGTAGGCAAAAGCCGTGTACGAAGGCTCCGTACCCACAGAGCTCAGGCCCTCAATGTTGCCAGCACCACCCGCGACAATGTACATGGGCGCCTTGGGGTTGTTCAGACCATTCGGATCGGCAGTATCATTGACCACAGGCTGGAAGCGCTGGGAGTTGTGGACGTGGCCGAAGACCCCCAAGTCGACACCATACTTGTAGAAGATGTTCTCAAACGCCTCCTGGCAGACATCGCAGGCGTTCCCGTCGCCTGTAGTGTACCAAGGACGATGGCCGGCCACCACTACCCAGGGGGTGACCGTGCGGTCGACGCTGGCCAGGTCGGCTTCGAGAAACTCAAGCTGCTCGTTCTTGAAGCCGAACGGGCCTGTGTCGAGGTCTGCCGAGCCGTCAGTGCCGTCGGGCGCATCCTTGAAGTCAGTCTCAGTATCAATCATGGTGACGTGGACCATGCCGTACTCGAAGGAGTACCAGAAGGGCGGCACAGCAAGACTGCGTGCCTTCTCAGCGAGTGCTTTGGCGGTGGCGTTAGTAGACTGAGAAGCGAAGGCGCTGGGAACGGTGGCATCGAAGCGGTGCAGGAAGTCCGTGAAGTTCTTCTGGCCCTCCGGACACAGTTCATTCAGGTAGGGAATCTCGCTGCAGTCAGCCTCGTGGTTGCCTGGTCCCGGCATGTACAGACGGTTACCCGAGATGGGAGCCAGCTGGTCGTAGAAGCGCTCCAGGATCGACTGGTATGCATCAGAGCCGTCCAGCCAGTTACCAACGTCCTCGTACCAATCATCGGCGTAGGCAAAATCACCCGGGTGAATGACCAGCTCGTAGTCGTTGATGGTATCGGCCAGGCGGCCAATGGTGGTGTGGTTCAGGTCGGGCTCGACCTTGGGGATGTCGGACTTCTTCGCCTTACGCGAGGACAGCGTGTAGCCGTCAGTACCATAGACACCCAAGTCAATGACGACGTCCATGCTGAAGGGAGTTGTGTCACCGGGGGTGCGTGGGCTGAGGAATTGTCCCACGGTAGAGTTGTCAGACACAATCTTGTAGTAATAGGTGGTGGCCGGAGTGAGGTCGGTGAGGTAGGCGACGTTGGACCAAGTTCTCGAGGTTGAGTAAGTCGTCGACTTGGTCGTGCAGGCCTTGGAATCCAGGTTGCTGCTTGAGGTGCCATACTCGACGCAGCTCTGGTTCAGCTGCTCATAAGTGTTCCATGCGACGGAGACAGCTGAATGATTCGTCCGGGAGGTCAGCGGTGGCTCTTGTCTCATGGAGATGGAGAGCAGGGCTCCTCACCGTTGGATCCATAAATTGCCAATCTCTGTTGGTAAGGGGTGGTCTTGTCTGTGGGGATGGTGGGATAATCGACGGCTAGGGCACCCGCCGCGAGGACGGGCAACACCTTGGTCAAGGCAAGGAGCTTGGACATGTTGGCGCGTGATCAGGGCAGACACCAAATTATTTGACACCCACGGAAGACGCTCCTGATGAAGCAGCGAAGGTAGCGGCCGCTGAGATACTTATTTATGCAGTTCCAGTGAGCGGACGCATGACCAAAAATGCGTCCTAGGAGTAACACGTGGGCGGAGATAGGACTGATGCGGAGCACTGAATGAAGGCTTGCATCGCATCCAGGAGAGCTTGTCGGACGACGCTACAGAATAGGGTTATTGTGGCAGGCAACGTGCGCCGGCTCGCGTCTCTGCTTGGAAAATGGACGAGGGAGAGAGGGGTCCTCTTCATTTCTGCATTAATTAATTTCATTTCTGCAAACTTGGCAGGTGACGAAGAGGAAGAGCGAGTGAGAAGCGTGGATGAAGGCATTAGTTGCTGCACGTGGGATCGGCGACGGCTGTCACTGCTTCGGAAGGAGAGGCCATTAGGCGAGAGAAGAACCGAGGCTATTCCCGTCTGTCGATCACTCCGGTCGGCGATCCGTCGGCGATGGATGGACTGACATTACTCTTTGGGTCTGGTTCACTTCGGTTACAGATGGAAGTTATACAACATAATGTTAATGGTGGGTTACATTATCTCGCTACTAGCTAATCAAGACTGACTTGCTGCATGCGAGGTAGTAACAAACCCCACCCTCGCAAGGTCTTCATACAGCAAAAGGCATCCTTGACCATCCACCCTCGTCAATTACGGTTTGTCATATAATTATATCCCCGGTCAAACATGAGCTTGGCCTCGCGCGTATGCTCATCCAAATCCTCCGTGGGAAGTCGCAGCAGGTCGTTGTCTAGCCCCCGACGGTGCTCGTAATTGCCATCGCCGTTAGGGAAGAAGATTCGCGAGTACATGGCCAGCACTAATCCCGCATGGTCGCCCTGCTTCACCGACTCCAATCCGCGCTCATATCGACTTTGGGAGGGTTCCTGTTCGATCGTCCAACTGTCTGCCGTATCGCCTGTCACTCGGAGCCAACTTGCCAGCATGTCTCGCTGAGTGAGCAGGAAATCGGAGATGTACATCGGCTTGTTCCGCCATCGACTCATTGTCAGCTGGTCATCTTGTTCGTCTTCTGGGAGCACAGGAAGACTCAGAAGAGTAGCCACGGCCCGGCCACACTGGGCCAGGGTGCTGACATTGACCTTGGTGTTGCCGTCGTCGTTCAGGATGAGCTTCTTAGTGGAAAGATCGAAGCCGAATGCACTCGGCCCCAGTACCAGACTGTGCTCATACCAGAACCCACAGATCAGTGCGGTCCACGCCATGCCCTTGGCCTCGATGCCGGCCACGAGGTCGCGAAATCCTCCCCAGTTGAGACCGCTGTCGGCTAACGGCGGGTGCGTGACATCACAGCCCCAGACATTAGGCATCACATGCCGGATCCCAGCTTGAGAGGCAGCTTGCAGCAGCTTTGACTGGGTATCGCGAGGGGTCCGCACTGAGAGACTGATGATCAAGCAGTCCTGGCCCTGGAGAGCGCGCACCAGGCTGGCCTCATCATCGTAGTCCACAGTAATGGACTGGACGTCGGCGGGCACCTGGCTCGTACTACCCATGCGGGTCAGGGCTGTCACGCTATGCTGTCCAGTCCGAAGCAGTTCCTCGGTGATGGGCTTTCCGACGGTTCCCCCGGCCTGGCAATTGGACCTACGGTTAGCTATGTGGATGGTACAGTTTGGCATAATGCACTTACTCCGACGATAGCAATGCGTTGAATGCGGTTGCTGAACTCAGCCGGTTGGTCCTTGGCGTATTGGTTGGTCATCATGAGGAATACAGATGAATTTCTGTTCACAAAGGGGCTGTTGAATTGAATCTGCTTCTGCTGCTATTGTGGCAGCAAGTGGGCGATTATATATTGTCGAAGGAATCCCCGTCATACTATTGACCGGGGATTAGAGGCATTATCTCCGCCATGGCCTCGGCGTCAATAGTATGGTCGCCCGGAGTTAGATGAATCAGCAACCTTCTCTTCCATGCAGTGCTTAACAAGCAAAACAGCAGCCCGGGGATAAGTGGACAGCCCTGGGGCGCGGGAAGGAGGAGATACGGGGTCCGATACCCCGATCTGCCCGACATGGAGCGAATCTCACCTCATCGATAGGCTTGCTTACTTGACGAGGGAGTGAAGGAGTGAGATCCTTCTGATTAGCGATGACCATTTCACAGCATAATTAGTGATCCCTGATGATGTGTGATAAGCACATTAATATTATTAAGTTGACTATGCCACTACACAACGCTCCTGCTGTCCCTGTTCATGCCCCAGCACTGTTACCATGTATTATCTCGTGGTCTCCACCCAAGCTTTAAAATCCCGGTTGAATGATTCAAACCCTTGGCGGGTATTATCTCTCCACCCGGCAGCGTTGGCCAGCATGCCCTGACCCATGAGAAAGCTGAGCAGTCCGGTGAATCGCTCTTCGTGAACGAGACGTGTTCGGCTCGCTTGGCCAGGCTGGTCTGTCGGAGCGCATTTAAAGCTGAAGCGATGCTCGCCTGTAAAAATTCCGGGGATCGAGCCCACCCAGCTGAAGAGGTCTGGGCTATTGGTTCGAACGGTGGGGGTGAATTGCGACTTGCCGTAGTTGACAGTACATTTCAATTGGTCCCCAGCTTGAAGGTGTTCGGGAAGCTTGTCATTGACCGGGATGATGTGCTGTATAAAGCCGGACGGTGAATAGGTGGGCAAAGCTGCGAAATCCAGGAACTGTTGCGCGGACGTGGTCAGTTTGTTGGGTACACTTTGGGATTGCAGCAATGGGACGCACCTTGTCCCGCACTACCTCGGGAGCGGCTGCAATCTCCACGCTGGTTGTGATGGTATGCATTGGATAGATAGCTTTTTCTGTTCCGAAAATAGCTCGCTATATTTTGGCAATGATGAGCAGAGCTTCAGGTATCGGCCTGCCCTTTAAAGGACGACTCAAGCGGGCGCACGGAATGCCGTGTCCGAAACCCTCATCGTTGCAGACCCATTGCGGCTTGGATGTGATAGGGATGTGATAGCTAGTCTGGCTCAAAACCAACAACAAGATAAAAAGAAAGTGGAAGAACGGAAGCGGATGCTTGGAATATATCTAGTCCGTTCTAGCTGTTAAGAAGACGACTCTGAATGCTCTGTCTTGACATGGCGTGGCTAAGAAAAAGATGATCGAACCTCCGGGATTCAATACCCTTTCTGCCTTGGATACTCGTTCACCAAACGACTCCCCAGTCTCTAGAAACACATAAAGAAAGGATCACTGTATTTGGCAGCACATTCCGAGCATCCTTAGACATATAAAATCATGGATAGGGGCACAGGGTGGATTTCCGACCGTCGGCCGTTCTCTCTCCTTCTCTCCGCTCGGGATATGATTTCCGGGCGGAAGAGTTTTCGTGTTTTTCCATCCCTTCATTAGAGTCATTCTCGCTTTAACTGTGAATTGCCATTGTGAGTTTTCTTTCTTATGTTCCGACTATGCCTGCCACATCCAGAAGTCAACGGTCCCTTCGGAAGCATGTTACCACGGCCTGCATCCCCTGTCGTGAAGGGAAAGTCAAGGTAATTCAACTCCATCCCCGTCGCCCAACCACCACCATCACCGATTCTCATTTGCGATAGTGTGGCGGAGGTACCCCAACCTGTAGAAACTGTGCCATTCGAGGCAAAACCTGTCGCTACCGACAAAGCGATGACAAACGGAAAGTCCCTGTGCGCCCGGCCGTGGCTGTGCTGGCACGCCGGGTGGACAGCCTCGTCCACTATATCAAAGAGCGTGGCCTACCAGTTCCGCCCATCGACGAGGAGGACCATCGTATCTTGAAAAATGTTCTGGATGCTTTGGAGCTGGGATGCGAAGACTTTCCCACAATTCCAAACCACACCAGCCCCCGGAGAGGGCAAAATAATAGTGTCAATGTTAACATCGGGCCCACTACGCCCGCGTCCATCAACAGCGCCGCTCCTCCCACTCAGATGGACGAGACCCATAGCGTAGGGCCATCCAGCCAACCGACTGTGCCTCTAGATGCTTTTGATCCCTTGTGCGACAATGAACGGCCGATGTGGAAGGGCTCCACTATGCAGAGAAGACCGAAGGAGGACGAAGTGGAAGAAGATGGGGACAGTGACGACGAAGTCACAGACCAGCTCTCCTGTCGACTAGGAAGGTTGCAAGTCACCCACGATGGCCAACTTCGATACTTTGGTTCCACATCCAACTTAACGCTCCTGGATGCACTCGTAGATGTCACCCCGCCTATCGCCATTTCCCGGGATGCGCCCGAGTTGCTAGAGAACGCCAAGCTTAATCAAAATGTCGACGAAGCATTCGAAAAGCACCTCATTGAGCTCTTCTTTGCTTGGCAGGATCCCAGCCTGCATGTAATTGATGCCGAAAGCTTCTGGCGGTCTCGAACACAAAGCCGTGAGGAGGGGCTTGTAACGCCATATTATTCCCGAGCCCTCTCGGACGCCATGTGTGCCTTGGGAGCCGCCTATGAGCCCAAATATCACCCCGACTTTGTCACCTTTCCCCGTTCACTGGCGGAATACTTTGGCGACCGGGCCAAGCTGCTAGTAGAACTTGAACTGGATAACCCGTCAATTGCAACCATACAGGCCTTGGTTATTCTCAGTAACCATGAGGCATCCTGTACCCGGGATACTCGAGGATGGCTATACAGTGGTAAGCCTTCCCCCTTCCCAGTAAATGGGATGCACTGAGGCTAACGAAGAAGGGATGGCCATGCGTCTCACATTGGATTTGGGGCTTCATCTGGAGATGGGCCCGTATGTGGAAAAGGGAATCATTCCCCATCAAGACGCCGAGGTGCGCCGTATGGTATTCTGGGGGGTCTATTTGAATGAGCAGTAAGTGTCCCCGCCCTCTTCTCCTGGGATAACCAGCTTATTATCCAGGTTCTGGGGATTTTATCTAGGTCGCTCCGCCCAATGCCGGATGGACGCCGTCACGGTGCGGGAGCCCATGTCTCCGAGCCCGTTTCCTACCTCGACCTGGAAGCCATATCCTGATCAACTTGGGAGTAATTTCCCTCCAATTCCCTTTAACCCACTCTGCCAGGAATGGGTCTCACTCTATGAAATCATGCTCCCGCTCACCGACATCTTGTAAGACACCGCCTCCAGTAAAGAAATGTTCTTGGCGCTAACGGTTACTTCCAAAGATACGGCTGTTCAGAGATCTCTACTCACGCCCTGCAGGAGCTGGCTTCGACAACCGTTGAGAAGTTGCGAATGTGGCAGGTTAACCTCCCCAAAGAGCTTAAGGTCGATGAAGGAACTCATTCTGGTTTCCGATCGCCCTTGCCTCATGTTCTCACCCTCCAGTAAGTCCTGCCAGGATCTTTTGTTCATTTTCGGTCTCAAATTTGACAGCAATTCAGTATGCAGTACTACCAGTTCATGATCCATTGCCACAAGCCCTACATCTCGCGACGTCATATACAGCCCCAGCCTCCTCAAGGTCCGGGCTCAGGCCATGCTCGAAAAATGTGCATCGAATCTGCAGTGGCCATCGTTCAACTGCTCGGCCTCTATGAGCAGACCTACGGATTTGACAAGACCAGTATCCAGATGGTTTCATTTGTATTTTCGGCTGCACTGATATTGATCTTCAACACTGTTCCCGTTAGAACCACGTCTCGAGATCAACTCCTGGTGAACCATCTCAATACTTGCTTTCGGGCCCTTGACCGCATGGCTAGCTGCTTCGAGAATGCCCGACGCACCAGCGTTTTCCTGGGCACCTTGCGCCAACAATGGCAGATACGCCGGCAGAAACGCCGAGCTCTTGGGGGCAAGATAAACCTTGCGTATGGCCGTCCGCAGGGCCTTTCGGAATCATCGGGGTGGAACCGGGAAGATACTGAAGGGCACCCAAACATGCCGTGTAAGCCTGTGCTCACAGAGGGTTCTTCTACGGGTCAAGATACTCAGCTTAGTGATCTCGTGCCATACTACTCTGTAATTACTGATGCACCCACATCCACAGTCGACTTCATGGCACCCAATCTTTGTAACATCCTGCTCAGTGAAGGGATCCCTCGCGCATTTGTGTGAGTTGGGGAATATCGTATGGCATCTGACCTGTTTGGTATATGCTCCTCAGTTTCTAAGAAAGTCTCATCATTTTGCAGCGGATTCACTATGAAAGCATCTCCTAGCATCATGCTTCTAATCCCATATTGTTGAGATAGGAAAACTTGATTGCGACTGTAGGCGCTCGAACAAGACAGCTGGAAGAAATGATTCTATGCCAAGGCACCCTTGTCTTCTAAGTTGTCATCGGTTTGAGAAGGATTTGCAAGGGTTGTACATAGTAGGGGACAGAAGTATCCGTCACGAACGCGTCGACCTGATGTTAGGGGTAGCCGTTCTAGTATACCAAAGGCATGGACTACTTGAAACGTAATATTCCCCGCTCCCCGTTCGGGTGGGCCCAAAAGAAGGAATGCCCTAAGGGAGAGGATGTTAATGCCTTTTCCACATGGTAACTGGTCCCGATTATTGAGCCGGCTGTCCACAAGTTGGTAGGACGGATTTCTGCTCAGGCCGGAACAAGAGAAAAGAATGCTTACAGCTTTCTTTACAGCTAGGTGTCGCTGCAATACTTCATGACGGAATGGGCATGACGTCAGTCACACCATCCAGCTTCAAGAGGCATGGTTCGAGAACCTTTGTAGTGAAATGCATTTGAGGGTGAACTCTCTGACACCGTCACCATGGGATATCCCAATACGATGCCCCGAAAACGAGCCGAAACTTGTACCTCTGAGATCATTCAATCCTCATATTTACTGCCACACACGCTTGACTACTAAACTGCATCTGGTGCATGCGCTCGGAAATACTATATCAAGCTACATGCATATCAGAGCATGCAGGTGGCGAAACGCCCAGAAGTCGGCTTCCTGCAAAACACCGGATTCGAACAGAGAATGTCAGAACGTGTATCCTGCCAAAATCCAGTTCACATGCTGCGAGTAAACGATCAACATGCCTACCCCTTCCGTTGCTGAAGTGTCATCCAACGTTGCAATCTATCCGTTCTATGATTTGCCTTGTAAGGAAAAGTCATAAGGATGTCATAATGATTAACGGCCGTTTGTCACTTTCTTTCGCAGCTTTGGAATTTGTATGACTATATATAAGCAATGAATGTGTAACTGTTAAACGTTTGAAGTGGAAATCCATGAGGATTCAACTGTTGCGTGTTGCGTGCAAGACAACCCAGGTCTCTGAAGTATATCTTAATCAACACCCGCTGCATCTTACCATCTGCAGAAATGAAGAAGAACCCTCCAACACAGGACGTTATTCTTCAACGGTTACATGGCCATACGTGCTTCATACCGGATCTTCGGTCTCTGATAAGGAATGAACCCGGGGGCAAAAACAGCAACCATACTTTATTAGCACTATGTGTTAATGACTATATAGAGAGGTATGTATCTCACATCACTTCAGGGGCCTTTACCAGAAAATGACGCTGATGCCAGTGACTTTCTAAGTCTCTTGCCCGGAGATCCAGCCAAGGCACGCAAAGTAAAAGCTTCTGATTTCCCACTATTAGCCTGTCTTTGGTGGCCACATACATCATTCAGAAAGCTGCGTGTCTTGGCATTTCTAGCTGTATGGTTGATTGTCTGGGACGATGAACTGGATGGGGCATCCCAGTCGACGGCGTACAACCTGAATATGGGTCAGCAGTTTCGGGACGAGACGCGTCAGTATATCGGTAGCAGTCTGGAATTGAAATCGAAACAATGTGATCATATTACCGACAATACCATCATTTGCGGGTTTAGTCCAATAGCAGATTTCATCCGAGAGGAGTATGACGAAGGTATGTCAGTTAGGCAGAGCGGATTCCTACCACCTATGACGAGACTGACGCTATATAGAACATAGGCTCACATTGGCAGAAGAGATCATGTTTGTCATCGACATGTCCAAGGTTGAACAGGAAAATCGTCTTGGAACCGATATACCGTCAACCGACCAATACCTGGCGTACCGGCTCGGAACAAACTTGATGGGGGTGATATGCGCTGCAACAGAGTATGTCAGCACCACCGACCGTGCCATATGTCTAACATTAATATATGATATTTCAAAGGCTCTCCACGCACCTGCGAATCCCCCGGTCAATGACACGTAGTCCGTTGGTGAAGGACATCTGGCACGAGACGAACCTTATTATCGCTGTGTCAGTACATATCAAATGGAGTTCAATATTCCCTGCTAATCTATGCTTAGCACAAATGATATCCTGTCCCTCAAGAAGGAGATTGTCAGTCATGGAACTTCTTCACTCAGAAAGATGTATACTGACTCCAAACCTGTTTAGCATAAAGGAGAAGTATACAGCCTGATACCTATTCTTCTCAACCAGGCGAAATCACCGCAAACCGCCATCGACATTTCGTTCCAGATTCTCAGGGATTCATTTGCGGACTTGGACCGCATTGAAGCTGATATTGTGGCAAGGTCTGATCAAATGCCTTTGAAATTCTTGATCGAGTCATGCCGCCGCTACTGCGCGGGCTTTATTAAGTGGAGGTTCGTGAGGCCTTTCCCAGGATATTGCACTGCCTTTAACGCTAGGATATAGTCTTGCTACTCCACGATATATGCTCTCCTCTGTGCCTATAGATCAGACAGGTGCTATGGTCTTGTTGTTTTAACATATTATCTTCATGAAACTGATCGGGTGGTATGTAACTGCACCCAAGAGTCCAGGTAATTCAATACGTCGGTAGATGGCCACATTGGAGTATTCGAAAACAAAGAAACAATGGCAGGAGTGTGCAAAGCAGTTGAACCCTCTTATTATCTTAGTGAATTAGTCTCTTCTATATGCATATTATGACTTTGGAGGCTTTTTCTATCTGTACTATGATATATACTGGCAAGCTCTGGAGAGCATGTCCATCAATTCATGGAGGATTTGAAGTACATCATCCACTAAACAATCTGGCGCCGTAGCTGTAGATGAATTGAAAACCGGTGTGAATTTTACAACACTCCCGGTGACAGGAAGTATAGGAAGTAATGGGCCGTCTCACAGCGAATGTCTATTGTTGTTGTTGTTGTTGCGCACCTTCTACAGAGCTAGTCCTCACCCAATTGTCGACATGGCAAGTTTTGGTTTCCTTTGATCCGGTGCAGGGTGTGTCTAGATTTGTTGCCTTGGCTTCGTAATGATATCAAAAGAGGCAAAGATTATCGGAAAAGTTAGACCAGAAATTGATATAGCGAGCCGGGATATCCGCACTAACCAGCCGTGGGCATATAGAGAACAGAGAGTTGCTCCTTGTGCGTGTGGTTGGACCTACTTGATTGAGATACTTGCATAAGGTCAACCGTTCCACTGAAGATGCCAGTGCCGCGCACCTTTCTGCAGCCCGCCCTTGCGGTGCCTGAATGTATTGCCAGTGCATTTTTCCCCTCCTAGAGGTTTTCTTCATAACAACAATTTGCATCGTACCTGGTAGTCACAAGAGACCTGGTAATAATGTGGTCGAATACTGCCAGACCCTTGCTTGAGTTGACTTTCAGAGTCACAACTACGTTTAACTCGTCACTCTAATTACCATTCGATTATATAACTCATCGTACTGATCATACGGGCCGTATTTGGAACAGAAGACGTATCTAAAAAGCTGGCCCTCAGCGCTGAAGCAAAAGGCATACAGCCGCTCCGTGTTGAGATAACGACATCATGTGAACACGTTCATCGCCACCCCCTTGCGTCCACAGTTGTTCTCTGCTTTCTTCACTTAGCTTCAGAGGTTTTCGTCCTGCATCTGGTCTGTGCCCAAATGAGGTAGGCTTAAAAATTATCGCGTCACCATATGCAACACGCCAAAAGTAACGAACTGACCCGTCTTGTGATCACATTAAACTTCATTAGGTGCCGAGTTTCAGGTTGCAGGAATATGTGCCGGAATGCAATCAGCCCAAGCCATACTCCAAGTTGGAAGACGTGAGGTACTTGATTCATCTAGAAGATGAGAATACTAGGTTGATCAATTGCGCCATAACTGCAGGGCGCTCAGAGAGTGAAAAAGCTCCTGGGGAGTATCGGGCATGATACTACGCTAGGTGCTTTCAACATTTTCACAGCGAATTTTGTTTTCGCCCTCCACGAGATCGTCGTTTCAAGTGGACTGTAATGGAAGTTGTTGTTATCCGCAATTGATTAGTGAGGTGGCAAGGGCGAATCCCCCTTCGGCGAAGGAGGTGTTCATCTACAAGTTTATGGGTTATCAGGTTCACTGTTATGATTCCTATGATGTAGGCCACCTGTCTCATCCATATGGTATAAAAGAACCACTCATCGCAGAAGGCTTCGAGAAACTCGACCCGTTCTATTGATCATTTAGTACGTCTTTCTATTGCAGTCGGAATATGCCTACTAAAAGTTTGAAAGTGGTCATTGTCGGAGGGTCCATCGCGGGTCTACTTCTCGCCAACGCTCTTGCTCGACAGGGAATTGACTTCGTTGTCCTGGAAGCTAGGTCGGAAGCTGCCCCATACGATGGAGCGGGACTATGCCTTTTGTCGAGCGGAGCACGTATTCTGGATCAGTTGGGGATGTTCGAGGACATCCAATATCACGGTGGTCCTATTTCCGTCCAGCGCATCTGGCGAGATGACGGACAACTGCTTGGGCACACCGAAGGCTTGGCCCTAATTACCGCCCGGTATGTCACAATCACGCGTTGAACACTTCCACAATGTGACATCCCGTCGGTTTACGGTCGTAACATGCCTGGCAGTAGGTTTGCTAACATGGTAGCAGGCAGGGCTACCCTGTGATTTTCATTGAAAGACAACGCGTTCTTCAAGTCCTTTTTGACCATCTACCAGACAAAGGACGCGTGCTCCTCGGAAAGAAAGTCATAGAGATAACCTCATCGGACGACCAGGCGATAATTATGTGCTTGGATGGGAGTACCTACCAAGCGGACATAGTTGTTGGAGCCGATGGGATACACAGCATTACGCGCAGAAAGATGATAAGGGATATTATCAGCGACAGCCCAAAATCGCATATAATGCCTGAAGCTCTTGGACAAGGTAATGCGTCGTATGCAGATTCAAACCACCATGCTTACAGTTAAGACAGTGTTCAGCGCTCAGTACTCTGCGGTTTTTGGAATCTCCAAGCCCACATCCGGGATGAAGATTGGGCATTGTAACAGGACATTTGCGCATGGCTTTTCCTTTTTCAATGCGGTGGGGAGGGATGGTCAAATATTCTGGTTCGTATTCCGTGACATGGGAAAGGTATATGGCGAAAAAGACATACCTCGCTTAGACCAAAGCAAGATAGAGGAAGACATGGCCCCCTTCTTTAGTAAGTATATTGCAGAAGGGGTGCAGTTCCGGGATATCTTTGAGAACAGAGTCCGTTGCTCCCATGTGCCTATCGAAGAAGGTTTCTTGAACCAGTGGGTCTGGAAGAGATATGCATGTATCGGAGACTCAGTACACAAGGTACAGTGATGATCCTACCCCAATTTTCATTGCTGATTCAAGGCACAGACTACTCCTAACCTGGGGCAAGGCGGGAACGGGGCGTTGGAGAGTGCCACGTCCCTGGCAAATACAATCGTTGCTATGGCGCAAGCCAGCATGTCCTCCGACCTATCCCTTCCTCGGATTTCAGCCTCCTTGGAAGAATGGGCTGCATCCAGACAGCAACGCATGAGGCTACTCTGCGAGTTGGGTAACGGCTTTACGAGGCTCGAAGCATTCCATACGCTGAAAGACAGAGTGGTAGGTCTCTACCTCGGTAAATATCAACTAGACGCAATAGCAGATATCCTGTGCGAGACCACTGTTGGCGCTGAGAAGTTGTCATTTCTCCCACCTCCTCGGAGATCATTACAGGTCACAATGCCTTTTGACTCACGAAAAGGCATCCAAGCTCCAACCAGAACTAATTCGCTATTACTGCGTTCTCTTATTGCAATTACCATAGTTTTCGCCCTTCAACCCCTTCTGCAGCACTGCATGACTGACAAGGTCGTTGATCATGTACCTATTTTGCATGGTCATGACGGGCGAGCATACGAACTGCATGACTCTCATACTAATCATAATAGCACGAAGACTCTAGCAGCAATGTCACGAATCGCGGACTTCGGGGTGCTGCTAACAATTTGGGCTGTGGAAAGCTGCAGAACAGGGAACATTGCCACTCTGATGTCGTTGTAAGTTTTGACATTAGCCCATTAAAGTCTGCGAGAGATCTCACTCTTTTGTAGTTTCTTGTCTTTTCCTGTGATTTCAGGAATGCTTGGAGGGATCCATGTGATAGCTCCATTATACTTCTTATTATATTCCATACAGTCACCGGTGTCCAAATTCGATACGCCAGATCGTCGCTGTACGCAAATCTCTTACATGAAGTCCTTGGTTCCGTGTCTTATATCGTGCTATTATATTCCGGGGTTCTGGATCACCTATGTGGACTCTTCAGTGCAAAGCAACTCAGTTATGATGTTTATTCTCCTACCAGCTTTTTTCCGATTCCTCCATGTCCAGATGTCGTCCTTTCTCAGAGGAACAACAGTGAAAGAGCTTATTGAAACGCCGAACGTCGACATGCCATATATTAGAATAACATACTACACATGCGCTTTAATATCTGGGTTCATGTCTTTGCTATTGAGAGCTTGGGTATCGCGGTCATTATTCGGTTGCTTATTGCCAATATCACATCATATGAGCCTAACAGCATCTACCAGGCACATCGCTTACGAGGACACGGTCGGGTTTGTATGTGGCTTGATATGGGTCACATATGAGTACATGGACTTAAACTCCGGCGGGATGATGAGTATGCCCTGGCTCTCGTTCATCCTAGCGGGCACACTCATAACTCTGGTTCTGGGGCCGGCAGCAGCTTTGATGCTAGGATGGGGCCTGAGAGAAGAGTACTTGGCAATGCATGCCGAACGCCGCCTAAAAAACACACTGCCTCTGCCAGCAGCTGTTGGAAGTCCAATAGTAGGTTGAGTTTGGTTACGTCGGTCAACCCTTACAATTACCTCCTCTCCAGAAAGACAAAAATAACGACGCGGGGCGTCAGTATTCTGTTCTTCCCATGTACGGTCAAGATATTGAGTGAGCGGCACGTCTCTCTCCGTATACTTTTCATTTGTCAAACTGTGGTTTTGATTTCACCATTCTATGCTGCAACAAACAACTGTCGGTGTAAAAATATAGCGCGAGTTCCTTACTACAAAACCGAATCAATGAACAATGCGACTCAATGTTTGTACGTGCACAAGTGTAAGTTGTACATGAGGTTTATTTGCCAGAAGAGGCGCACCCGCCATGTATTCAAGCCTTCGTAGTTCAAATATCTTCACACTTCGCTACCATATCATTAAACATCTCTACCCCTGTATGTGTTCATAGGACGTTTGAAGAAAAAATTAAGTTTTAACCCCAATTCCTTTCCACTATGGAGTCCCTTGAGATTGTGGTATTAAGGCGGTGTCCCCTCCAACGCCCCCTAAGATGACAATGCAGTCTTTGGAGCGTAAAAGGATCAATAAATCAAGCAACTAAATATAATACATCTAGGAGCGTGCTGTCCACGCATTTTTCATTCTTTAAAGTGCTTTCCCAAGGGGACGTCGGCGCTTTGAGAATGTCTCCAATAAACTTCCATACCCTCACTCGCCTAGTAAGAGCATTGTGGCTGTGTGTATAAGTCCGAAGGACTTGTGAATTAGGAAATTGATAGACGAGGGCCTGAACAAAGTGCCCTTGCCTTATAAGATTGCAATACGAAGCTAGCAAAGTCGGTCCCCCATGCTTAGACACATCAACACAATTTCTTTACCTTGACGAAAACATGCTGTTGCACGATGTATGCATGTATGCTGTGTGACACCAGCTGTACCAAACCTCTCTTGGAAAGAGCATTTCAAATGACGCACTGTGACGCACGCTGTGTGGTAATATTGACAAGATTTCCTAGAATGGGATACTGCACAAATAGTAGTCTGATACTCTATACTGTGCCATGCAATACTATGATTACGAGCTTCCCCTTACGGCGACCTACATGACCATCCGTAATAAGGAATGTACTACAGACAGCGATTTAGTGAGGCCCTGACCCGCTGGAGATGGTACATATATATTCTTGTCATTCGCGAACTACAGAATACTATGATACAATGATTTCATGCGATAAAATCTCCTGAACATGACTATCTCCCGTACATTTTCTGGTACAGCCATGCGCCGCCCCCTCGTTCGATGTGAGAAGGCACTCAATGAGTTGTGCCTGGAGTCTTCCTTTTTCACTCCAAAAAATTGGCAACTGCTTTCTATTGCGAGCAGTGCCCTATTCGGAACAACTTTATTCCTTGGTTTTATAGCCGGTGACTTTCTGCCACCGATTCCCCCATCGTGGGATGCCGACAAGGTATACAGTCATTATCAAGGACACAAGAAGGGTGTCCAAGCTGGCGCTGCATTGATGCTTATCTCTTCCGGATTATGCCTTCCCTATGGGGCAGTAATATCCAAGCAACTTCGATCCATTAACGGCATAGATCCAATTCTCTGTGACTTATCTCTCGCAGCTTGTGCGGTAGCGAGTGTCACCATTATGATGTCGGCGTCATTCCTCGGACTGATTACTTTTCGGGATTATGGCCCCGAATTGACTTTACTTCTCAGTGATCTGTTTTGGATCACTATAGTCATGCAGTGGCCGCCATTATGGATTCAAAGCTGGTCCATATCATGGGCAATCCTCTCCGACAGAAGTCCAACCCCGGCATTCCCAAGATCTTTGGCATTTCTCAACTTCATCGCCCCACTGGCATTGTCCTCAGCCACAGCCATCCATCTTTATCATCACGGACCATATGCATGGAATGGCGCACTATCCTTCTGGTTCGGTTTTGGCCTTTTCTTCGCCCAGGTCGCGGTCGATCTAATCTCTTTCGGTCGAAACATTCTTGCACATCGACAGGTGGAATTCGATGAGCAGACAAACTAATGGATCACTTATTAGTTTGTTTCCTAATGTCGGGTCTTCCTCGGGTACTGCTTGGCAATGGAACGTCCGATAATAGCATAAAAATTGATTATCTGGCTTGTTGTATGCCCTAGCTATTTGTGACACAATCACAGCCGAGAGAATGATATTGAGGGGACGATCGCAGTCTGTCTGCTGTAAAAGTCTGTTGATGCGTCGGCCACCGCAGACGTGTGTATGCAGGAGACCTTGGATATTCCATATATAAGCAATCTCGCAGTGTAACACTCAAGCAAAGACACAACGGATGCGGTATGGGCTAAGATACTAGAGAAATGGTGTGTGGCAAGAGCTTCTAGTTAATAAGCGCGAAGGACGTTGGTAGTAAATGTCTTAAAGCTTTCTCCCCGATAAATTACCCTGTGCGCATGTTGCGAATATGTAGCTAATTTTTGACGCTATGGTACTTCCACACATAGTCCTTATCTCTGGTGGCTATTAGTCAAGCGTGAGACGAGAGTAGGGACGCGAATTACCAGGGGACAACTCCGCGGAGGGGGCCATGTTGTACAAAAGGTATGAATCCCGAGCGTTGGCACTTTTAGACTGGTTAATGGCTGTCAACCCCCGATTGAAGATTGTGATGCAAATAGCAGTACAGACAACCGTTGCGGGAGCTAGTGCTAAGGACAACACGGCGAAAAACAACATCATGCTCTTGCCGGCTGTATTTGCCGACGATAGAATCACAATCTGGCTGATAAGATAGGCGATCAAGGCAAGGTAGCCCATGTGTTATGTGGCGATTAGACGGCATTCCAGCAAGTCCGAGAAACTAGACAAGAGGCAGAGAAGCTCACAACAATAGCATTTGCACCAAAGGTTCGTTCTCGCTGGACAAACCAGACACCAAGAAATATCGCAATGATGGCGACAGGGATGAGCAGTATCGTCAAAGTATACTCTGGTTCTTTGAAGTGCACATATACTAGATCATATTGGATAATGACGCCAATGAGAAAATACAGGTTTAGTTTTCTCAGTATCAGAAAAACCTGCATGTACCACCTACGGTTAGCAAGTTTTCACAAGATACTTCAGGTAATTGGGGAACACGACGGAGTCGATGTTACCTCATAGGCCAGATAACGCATCCGAGTGTCCGGGCTGCCGCGAACGGACTTGTAGATAGCCCATGAATAGTCCCGGTGTATCAAATATGCAATTGGGCCTAGAAAAAGAGCGCACAGTTCTGTAACTATACATACGAGGATCTCTGCTGGCTGGACCTGAGGCCACACATTGCGTGTACTATCCACCAAAGTCGGATAGCTAAAACGTGACTTGAACAGTCTTGCAGTAGTACCTCTCATGAGGAGAAATTGTATCACAGAATAACCGAAGCTGCAGGCATTACAAATGCAGACTGAAAATAGAAGGATGTTATTCTTGTGGTGGATTGTATCCAAGGATAGAAACAACTCAAACAAGCAGGCGAATATCAGGATGTCTAGGTTGATTGGAATCAGGTAGGACACCGGCGCTTGATTGATGGTAGAGGCGACCTATCGCTGCCATTTGACGAGTATATAGCTGCCTTGTAGGTTAGATGTGCTCGTGCCCACAAACGGATCAAGGGCGTACATGTTGAAGATGATGGTCAAGACTGCTGGTGCGAGCAATACGCTGCACAACCACTATTTATATCTTGTCGTCGGTCTATATATGCTCACTTAAGAATGTAACGGGCCATCTAACGATGCCGACTGTTTTAGTTGATCAAGTCTATGCTAATATGTTCAGTGACTTGTTATTGTCCGCCTCCCACGTGATGATGAAGTTGGACTTGCATCCGACAACAATGTGAAAATTCTCTGGCTGATTTACAGGTTCGCCCTGTGTTTGATAGAATCGTAGGCAGCAGCTACTACGGGACCCGATATAGGTTTAATACAGCCTATTGGTTCAGAGTGAGACACTTTTAGCTATTATATTATTGAACCACCAAATAGTAATACATCTGTTCCCTGCCAAACGGACCAAAATCCTGGGTCAATTTTTCGAAAATGGGGCGTCGGAAACACTTGATTTTGTGTCTGCCGGTTACGCCGGTCGGCCCACCTCAACATACCCGTCAGGGTCTGATCGTTGTCGGAATGGCTTAGCACTAAGTATCAAACAGGTCTATGGAATCTTCAATCACCTCAATTGATCGATCCCCATGTCTTGAGACATTCCGTGTCATGAGTAGTCTTCCTCAACCAAATAATCATTAGTCCCATGTTGATCTCATGCATTGAGGTAAATGGTACTGTACATCCCAACAGGATCCTTATGATTCCGATACAGGGCAAGGAAGAGAGGTCATACTGCCACTAATCGTAAGGCAGGCAGGCCATTTGGGTTGCATGTCAGCAACTCCACCCACTAGTATAGCAATTGGTTCATCCAGTCTGCAATAGATCCCGTGCCCCGATTTGCTGAAGTCTCAGCATGACACTGTTCAGGCAGTCTGCTAACCGGATTACTCTACGCTCGTCCCGTGAGAACTTTCCGACCAACTGCAATCGAGAAAAGGAAGGTGCATGATATCTGCTGCAAAGTTCTTGCAAGATCTTTTTCCCAGAATTGACGAGTGCACTGGGATCTATTCCGATTTCTGGTAGGTGTTTTTGAGAATATAAATTAATCCAGATACATGGTACTATACTACAGTCAAAGGAATAATAGGAAATCAGCATTCCAAGTATAACCTTGCTCAACTTGAACTCCACAACAAAAAGCAAGAGATAATGTAATGTTCATTTCATGCCTTCTGATCGGGAAATTTTCTTAGCATGTCACCCAATCGATCAATAGGCGCAGACATCAGACCAACAACAGTTTCATACGGTGGCCGGTCAGGGGCCGCTGGATGGCTCCGCGTAGGAATGAAATTCTTAGTGCGACCGAAAGAACGCGCCATACTTTCGGAGGCAGATTCACCAATAGCATGTTCAAGAGCCGGCAGATCTTGGCTTTCTTCCTCCTTGATGTGCTGCTCTAAGTTCGCCCACAGGCTTTGAAGAGTAGGGATGAACTCGGTGTCATCAGGCTGAAGGCCTTGAAATGTATAGAGAAGCTCCTTGACCTGCAGTGTCACGCCAGTTAGCTTGATTCGTCCCTCAAAGAAACGAGGCTATAAGTAATCATACTATTTGGTGCTCCTCTCTGTCGTGCTCCGCCATGGCCTTGCCGTTGTCCAGCTTTAGCTCCATCTGGGGATACACAACTAGCTCCTCGCCAATCGAGTGGCGGGCCAGCTCCCAGGTAAATTGGTTCTGCCATCTGACCCTTTCATCATTCGTTTTTGCACCTAGAATTTGATGGTAAGCATCCTCCAGTTCGCGATGGTCGTTCTTGATAAGTTCAGACACGCGAATCGCGGCAGGGGCGGTGATCCGGAAACCACGCCTCGGGGTCTGAACCGTTTTGGAGAAGAAATTGGAGGACTGTGGTCCCCTGAATGATGTTTTCGAAAAAGAAGAAAGCAACATGATCGCTTGCCTGATTGGCTCGTAGGTGGGTTTGTAGTAGTTTGCTCAGAAAGGGAAGTACTATTACGATGTGCGCACTGTATTACACTGTCCTTGAGTTCGTGGGGTACAGCGCAGAACCTGTTTATAATGTCTGAATTCCGAGTTCCAGGCCAGCTCGATAACTATGACATAGGTGGTCATTAAGTGTGCAGTCCAGCCAGCCAGCAATGATTAAGCAATTAATCATGTTTTGCCTGCGCCTCAGAGTGAGAGAGCCTCACATTGGCATGATAGAATAATGACATAGTCCAGACGTCGCGAGTTTGGCGGATGGAGGCTCTGCCGGTGAAACCAATCGGAATGCGCATAGGATCGTTGCCATGCGGAAAAGCCCTCAATAACCGGCTTCTTGACCGGTAAGGTCTCTGGGATATGCTTGAGAGTCCTGCTGAGGGCTTAGTCTAGCCATGGCCACTCAGTCGATTTGCTCATCACGACGACAGCCCTTCTGAAAGTCTAATCAGCGTGGAAGGTGAGGGAACGGTAACTTTAATTTGCGTGATGTAGCTGTTTACGGTTGGACGTCATGGCTGAGGCCGGAACCGCCCGGACGCCAAGGCAGGAAGTATAAGAACATAACTTCATGCCAGTGAGAAAGACCATATAATCACCAGTTTCGAGTGATCCATTGGCAAGACGGCAATCGATGATGGCAGCGCATCCCTTACAGGCGTTGGGGGAGGCGGTGGGAGCGGCGGGCGCCGACCCGCGCATCAAGCAATTGAATTCGCTGTTTCAGGGGGCCAATGATGGGCCCGCCCGGACAGCGGCCAAGTTGACGGGGGTTCAGCAGGGCGGCAAGCGGCAGGATGACGGGCCCTACTTCACCAACAACGAGGGTATCCCCTTTCCCGATCCCGCTCACAGCAAGACGGCGGGTGGACTGCCCTTGGTGTCAGACACTTTCTTGCTGCAGAAACAGCAGCACTTCAACCGCTCTAAGAACCTGGAGCGGATGGTTCATCCCTGTATGTTCTGCGGCTCCTCGGTGGTTTTAAATCAATTGGCTGACGATGCACAGGTGGTAGTGGAGCTTTTGGATACTTCGAAACTACCAGAGATGTCTCCAACCTCACAAAGGTGCATATATCCCATAGCTACTCCAGAGAAGAATGTAACTCGAGAGAATAACGCTAACTTGGACAGGCCGACTTCCTCAAGTCCTCCGGACTGAAGACGCCGGTCTTCGTCCGCTTCTCCACCGTGACTCTCGGTCGGGAATTCCCCGATCTAGCCCGAAACCCGCGTGGCTTTGCCATCAAGTTCTACACGGGAGAAGGAAACTATGATATCGTGGGCCTGAATTTCGTATGTGATGTGGTGGATCTCATTCGTACGGCCTGTTTGACGGATTTCTGACTCTTTGTCTGATCAGCCGGTCTTCTTCTGCCGAGACCCTATTCAGGGCCCCGACGTAATTCGGTCGCAATCCCGTAACCCTCAGAACTTCCTCCTCGACCACAACTCCCTCTTCGATCTTTTGGCTAATACGCCCGAAGGGTATGTTTCGTGCAGTGGATAGGAAAGCTGCGTGTCATGTGGCTGACACTGGATAGAAATCATGCCGGCATGATGTTTTTCAGCAACCATGGAACGCCGAAGGGATGGAGAAACAACCACGGCTACGGCTGCCACACCTTCAAATGGTAAGCCGGCTGACATCAACTTATGCCCTGCCCCTACTAAACACTTGTAGGGTGAATGACGAAGGCAAATTCGTGTATATCAAGTATCATTTCTTGGCAGACAATGGCCAGAGACAATTCACGGCCGATGAAGCTCAGTACCACGGAGGGGCCGATCCGGACTGGTCCAAACGCGATTTGTGGCAGGCAATCGAAAAGGGGGAAGAGATTACCTACACTGCACACGTGCAGATCATGCAGCCCGAAGACGCAGACCCTGTGAAGCTGGGCTTTGATCCGTTCGATGTGACCAAGGTGTGGCCGAAGAAGCAGTTTCCGGTAAGTCCTCAATTCTCCGTCTTTTCCTCTGGGACGCCCTGGGTCACTCATTCATTTGATATAGCTTCACGAGTTCGGTAAACTCCGCCTCAACAAGAATCCTGAGAATTTCCATCGGGATGTTGAACAGGCGGCCTTTTCCCCGGGCAGCATGGTCCCCGGCATTGAAGACAGTCCTGACCCCTTGTTACAATTCCGCATGTTCTTCTACCGCGATGCGCAATATCACCGAATCGGCATCAACCTTCACCAAGTTCCCGTCAACTGTCCTTTTATGGCCTCGTCCTATTCGTCCCTGAATTTTGATGGTCAAATGCGCGTGGATGCCAATCACGGCATGAACCCGCAATATGTCCCGAACAGCTTTGTGAACAAGTTCCGACCAGATGTTGCCGAGGCCCCTTACCAGTTGGCAGACAACAATGTCGGACGCAAATCCCATTTCTACCACGAAGGCAAGCCTTCCGAATACGATCAGCCACGGGCCTTGTATAAACAGGTGATGGATGAGCGTGCTCGCAAGCAACTGCACGATAATACTGCCCGGCTCCTCCGACTCGTGGAGTATCCGCTGATCCAGATCAAATATTTGGCACAATTGTACCGCATCGCACCGGAGTATGCCCAAGGCGTCTATGATCTGCTCCCGGAAAAGCCGTTTGCGTTTAGCGACGTCGAGCAACGTGCTGGGGGTGCTGAGGCCGCCATGAAAGAGCCCAAGTTCCGCCCTTGCGCCCCGACCGACAAGTTGGTCGGAACGTGTCCGATGCAGCCTGTTTACAATGTCCGAGTTTAACGGAACCCTATATTCATTCCATGAGCTCGGTCCCTTTAAAATTGCCTCTTGTTGCTTCAATTGTATTGTCTTCTGATAAGTAGTGCCAAATATGACATATTGCAGACCTTATGCCACCTGTCATGCATTTGATACTCTGACGATATATATCTCTTCTTACCAAGCCAAGAATACCAACCACTTCAATGAACACACTACAACTAGGAACCCTTGACCTGAGGCTAGTAAGGACATAAAGACCCATTTAGTAGTACTAGTAGTAATCTTGATTGAGTTCAGATACTAAGCCCAGTTTGTTGGTGGAGGCGTCGAGTTACTACACAATAATAGGTCCTTGGGATGGTCTACCCCAATGTCGGAAAGTAAAAGTACGAATGATGATGACGCCGATCGATACTGCTTTTGGGATAGAATGGTGAAACAACAAGATCTGAATGATGCACGCGCCCCACTAATTCAGGCAGATTCAAAGACCCATCCGATCCATCATCCCTTTTTTTCTTTTCCGTATTGCGTCCATATCCATTATTTCCCCACAAGAAGTAAACAAACGAGTCATCCCAGAAACAAGATGCCGGTTACTTTAACCACTTCTAGCTCCAGACCAGAGGCGTGGGTTGGAGCCAAGGTACTCACGGCGGAATCCCTCTTAGAGGAGTCTTGTCCAGAAAATGCCCGTCGCTGCAAACAGCTGTTCCAGAGCTCTTTCACCCCGGAACAACTCGCAGAAAACCACATCAGCTCCTCCTCAAATGGCCTGGTCAATGCTGTGTACCGGGCATATAGTAACCATCATCATCTGACCCTGCGACCGGAGGACGTGTGGTTCGCCATCCTGTCCCAACTGAGCTTCTACATCAACGCGCATGCCGAAGATTTGCGGTCGCATTTCGTGGCCCATGAAGGCAAGGAGGAAGTTTCTGTCACTGCAGTCGGGACGGTATATTCGGTCGACTTTGGTGCACTGGCAGTCCAAATGACTGAGGCGATTCAAGAAAAGGTCGTGGATCCCGACCTACGGACGTGGCTCATGCCGGCATTCAGCACCACCACCGTCAGCGACCAGATTATAGCAGCGGTCCTGATGATGGGTGCCATGCAACAATACTTCTCCTTTAAAGCATTTCTCTTATGTGGGATCCCCAGTGTGACATTGTTGGGAGAGCGGGAGGACTGGGTACAGCTGCTGAGCAAACTGGACAAGCTCCCCGACTTGGGTGCGGAGCCCGCTCAGTTTGCTCGCCTTCTTCGACCTGTCTTGCAGAATTTCATCATCTCCTTTGACGAGCCCACCTCAGAGTCGGTTCGTGAATTCTGGGGTTTGTGCGCGGATCGAATCTCCGGCGGAAGCGGCCCGTCCTACTTGTCGGGGTGGATCACCGCGTTCTGCTACTGGGATGAAAAAGGCCAGCCCATGAATAAGGGAACTTTGGGATGTGAACTGGATGGTGTCCAGTTTCATCGTGTTGACTTTGACGATATCCCGGGCGCGTTCGCCTCAGTGCCTATGAAGGTAAATGACAATGGCACCGAGTATGAGACAGAGCTAGTCGCCGGAGTAATCGGCATTCAAGCAAGCTGTGGAAAACAGACGACAGCTGCTATTGGAGATGCAGAGGCCCAGCAGGACACGATCCAACCGGCTTCAGGATGGTGGATATATGAGAAGGAACCTGCCGCAGAGAATCCGGAGTGAGACCCACCAAGGCGTGGACTTGCTGATTGCTTAGGATATATGAAAGCCCCAGAAGGGCTTATTTGAGGATGCAATCCCCAATACATAGCTTCAATCAACATCCAGTACGGCAAGTCGTCGACTGTAGGACGAGTAGCATTTCAATGATTGGGTATTGCACATGTGCGGTGACTTGAACACGGCGAGGCCTCCATGCGAATGTAAGAAAGGAGATTACGTGCAATATGGACACACCTTAGGACCCCCTCAAAGTGCACCTAGTAGTGATCGACATACTACTCAAATATAGACTATCTGAGTAACAGACTAACTTGATCTAGTTCATCGTTATTGGCTACGTAGTATCTTCGCCACGGATGATTCTGTGTAACGCCTGGTGTTGATAGTTTAGGGAGTTGCTGACTCAAATAGTATACTATTCGAGCCAGCGAAGGTCCCCAAAGCTGAGATTCGGGACATTGTAGATAGATAATTGTGTTCTTTCTAGGTATAGGTATATCTACCAGTTTCGAGGAAATGACAACCCACCGCCTCAACACTTTCAGTAGTGAACACAGCTACTGTGCAGCCTGGTCGGACTTGACTGGATTTGCTGCCTACCTCCGTCGAACCCCGCATTATATATAACAATGTCTCACACACTATTTATAACCCTACGTACTTCTCCCTACTTGACCATTCACCGATTCCGATGCATGCATACTGGTTCCTGTTGACGCATATGGAGGAACCTCTTAATGACATTGCCATATTGGAGCGAGGTATCTCCTCTGTCGTCTTCCCTGTAACAGTACTTGGTAGGCAGTGCATGCAAGTCAGCTAACAAAGCCAGGCAACCTTATTTTCGGCAGATACAACCTCCTACCGCTGCTTAGTATCTTCGCGACATCCCTATGCCCATAAATCGTCATTGTTCAAACAAGTATATATGTTGCCTATCGTCCTCCAATGCTGCGTTCAGCCACAGTATCTCATACAGGAAGACTTTAGTATACCTGCAGTCTACCTGAGGTTTGTCCTCCAATTTCAAGCACTGGTCACGGAAGGTGGGATAACCCGATTGGATCTGGCAGGACAGATGTTCAGTATCATGCTTTGGAACTCCTTTGCGCGATTCTCGGCCTCTCGCTTTCTGAAAACTGGTCAGGGACTGTGGAAAGCTCTCTTGACAGCCACACGGCCGGATGACGAGACTTATTCAGCTTTCAGCAAGAAGTCGTTCGACCGCAGTGATGAATCATCACCAAGAACTAAAGGATCCTAGTAACCTGTATCAAAGGCCTTTCCTTCTGATTCTTAGATAATCCCAGAATTTCAGAGATATCCGGTCAGGTGCTAGCTCCTATCAATATCATAGTCAATCGAAACCGCTTCCACGGGTGTAGTAGCCTTCTCCAAATACAACCCACGGAAACAGGCGGAAGAAGTTGAGTATGTCGGCAACCCCCTGATGCGACACTTAGGATCCCAAGTTGCTCATCGGACGGTCGGATGGACGTGGAGGGCCCTTGATAATATCATATATATGAACAAAAGCCTTCCCATTTCAAAATGGTTTTTCCGACACATGACCGGCTGGTGTACTACTAGCAATGAGCTACCAAGTTTGAGTTGAATTTCATGTGTTATATAATATGGGTAAGTGGCTTCTGTCTAGACAACAAGGTTCCCTCTGTGGGATGTAGAATCTAACACAAGGGTGAGTGACACAAGGGTCATGATAGAAGATCGGGCTCAACAGCCCTTGCCCATAATTAGCCCTACACCTCAGCCCCACTCGAAGAATCATCATTGCTCACGCCGCCAGAGGAAGTAAGGGTAGCAGCGTATGTAGCACTGGTGTCATGGCTTGCGGTCAAATTGATTCCCAGTGTAATCCAACCAAGAATACCATCTGCAACCGTGTCTCCTAGCAATGCATACTCGAAGAAGGGGTCAGAGTTGCTATCGGCCGTCTCAACCTGAACCACATGGTCGTCGGCATTCTCGGTGATGGCAACCGTGCTGGTGTTGTAGGGGTAGGTAGCCTCGACCTGTGAGATCAAATCCTGGTCAAAAAACAGCTGGCCGATGTGCGGGATATGGCCTCCAGAGAGGGTGTTGTTCGCGAGGACCTGAGCGCCCACGTGAGCGATGATATGGATGTGAGTTGCGCGACCCGAGTAATGTCCGGGGAAGACTGTTTTGAAGCCAGCGACGCCATCAGAATCGGTCTTTTGGAGGCCACGGAGGAATATCTTGTCAAGGTTGGAAGAGTCATTGCCGTTGCCGTTCATACTGCTCTGAACTCCAGAGTAGATTCCAGTTGCATTGCAATTCCAGACGTCCCAGTAAAGGTCCTGGATGGGCTCGCAGGTGTTGATGTCGATAAATTGACCGTCCAATATGAGAGGCACTCCTGGCTCTCCGTCGGAGACATCATGGCGGATCAGCTCGCCCTTGACCCAGAAGGGGCCAACCTCACCCTCCGGAGCTAGGATACAGACGGGGTCCTTCGAGAAAAGCTCTGACTCGGGGGTGTTGGGCGTCACCTGGAGCGAGGAATGGTGCGAGGTGTTTACCACCTGCTCCGTATTGCGGAGGGCCAAGGAGCGCTTCTTGTACGTTTCATACAAAGCCGCGCGGCGAGAAGCAGCTCGATCATGCACGCCACTTCTCTTGAGTTGTCCAGCACACTGGCTTAGACTCCGTTGGGCGTTGTGGAGGTAGGCACGCTTGGAGACATCGGTAAAAGAGTTAGGTTCATGGGCTCCAGGATGCGCAATAGCGAGACCGGCAAGCGAGAGAGCAATTGCCTGCTTGATCTGAAGAATCTGCATTGTGAGGCGATGGAGAAGGGACGGTTTGAGGAATGACTTGTTGGGTTTGAGATGCGTTGTGTACCAGACTGATTGAATCCGAACAAAGTCATGCTTTATATATGTTCGATTTCACAGACGGGGAAGTCTGTCATCCAAATGCAGCCCAGATAGCCACGTAATGCCTTTACGTTTGATATTGTCACTGCGGCATACAACCCGTCCGGAGCCCTGTAAACGCGTCATCGTCGCTGTATACAATCTTGGCCGACCTCCCGTGGTATGTAGAAGCCTGTTCAAGAGTATCAAATTTTGTGGGGCATGGGGACGGAAGGATCGACATCAGTCAATATCAAGAAGAGGTGGCTGATGAATTGGCTTAAACTGATTGATGGAGGTATCGGCTTTCCGAGAAGCATTTGGAACCAAGCGGAGTCGGGGGTCGCTTGGCTCTTGGCAGCTTTAAAGTCTCCGCACCATTTCCCCAGGATCGACACTTCCTTTTCCAATCTTGCATCTCATTGGCATCGACCATCGTTTCCAGCCCTGACCCTATGCCGGCCCAGCGTTGCCGCTGACTAATCATAGCTCCCGGTCCCAACCCAAGGCGGAATCGACAAGTCGATGACAGAGCAAAGTCCCCCCTAGGAACTGCTAGAGTGACGAGTATTGCAGTGTGTCTGTTCGCGTTCTGGCCCGCTAGACCTTTTTTACTAGCATGAGTGGTCAATCTTCAGTTCAGCGCCCTGGTGGCCGAGCTCGCAATGCTTGTGATCTGTGCCGTCGGAAAAAGGTACGTAAATGCATCCAGTTGAATGTGTCCTTCAAATCCCGCAAGTGGAGTTCTATGGCTTTGAAGCGCTAAAGCTGAAAGACCCTACTAGATTCGCTGTGACAACGCCCAACCAGCCTGTGAGACATGCTCTTTGGGAGGTGTGCAATGCACCTTCACAGAACATCCCAGCCTGGTGCGAAAAAGCCTACGAGAGTAAGTACCGGTGCAAATCCCATTCTTCTACGCTGACCGGCATACTAGTCAACTCCTGGATGCCACAGCACGGATACGAGAACTGGAAGCCCAGCTGGCTGTCCAGGACCTCTCTTCCGATTCCGGCCAGAGAGAGCGAACTAGTTCTGACGAACATTCAGACAACCTATGGCTTCCCTTGTTCGCTGTAGACCATCTTCCAGATACATACAGCATAGATACGTCGCTTGCAACATTTCAAGCAGAGATCGCCCATTGTGGAGTAGGAGAATCCGGCTCCACCAAAAGAGCGTCCTTTTCTTCCATAGTCTACCGAAAAACAGGCGCCCAACTCGATCTCGACCACTTTCTCGCCCAAGCTGCACAGTCGCTCAGATTCCGGGGCATTCAGAGCAGGACAGGCTCACATCGCTCGCTGTCACCAAAGTGGCCTCCCACGCCTTTGGTACGATACTCCATCAATCACTACTCACAGAGTGGGTTGTATTCCATTTTCCCGGTTGCAAACGCCGATGCCCTGAGTCAATTAATCGAAGAGGGTGTATTGGACCGTCAAGATGACACTGTACCTGCAGCAAACCTGGCCTGCCTGTTTGCATTCACTGCAATGATGAGTGTAATGCATCGACTCAGCCCGGAATTCATCAATGCTGAGCCAGATGCATATATCCAGGCAGCGCTGGGCCTCGTGCCTAGGCTATTGATGGAAAGGACCACGGTTAGAAGCTTGGAAGCTGTTGTGCTGATTGTATGCTACTTCTATCTTGACCGAATTAATTTTTGCTGACTCCCACAGATGACGTATATCATGCCAAGTGGGCAAATCGAATACGGGCAACTCCTACTATCCCTAGCTACCCGAATGATACTCTCTCTCGATGCGCATCGAATTTCCATCATAAGCAATCCGGAAGGTAGACATCTCCGGGCCTTGTTCTGGTTCTGTTATGGAACGGATAAGAACATGCTCATCCGGTATAATCAATCACCGCATTTCATCGATGCGGACTGCGACCTCCAAATACCGGACAATTACATTTTGTCGTCATCTGACAATCAATTTTTCACGAGGCCTCTTTCCAACAATGAACTACTTTTTCCCTCTGACGTCCGACTTTCTCTGCTGAAGTCCAAAGTGTACCATCTTCTCTATTCCCGCCATGCTCGAGCTCAGCCAGAGGCCCGTCGCCTTCAGTATATCCGGGAGTTAGATCAAGAGCTTAATGATCTGAAACGCACATTCCCTTCTAGTTGTTGGCCGGATCTATTTGCCACACCGTCCGCCCCAAATTACACTTTCCATGACCTGAGTATGCGGGGGGTCTGTCTACACCTAGAATTTTACTTCTTATTAGGGAAGATCCACGAAGCGAGTCCTTGTCTTGAGAGCAACAATAGTATTTCCAGCTGGCCAATTCTTCCTTCCAGTGTCGAACTGTTCTATCAGGAATCTCGGTCTATTCTGTTATACATACGTCATGTTCGTGACTTCCTGAACTGGCATACTTTCTGGTTGCTCTCCCTCATTCGGTGTTTCTTTGAAGTTACTAATACTGTTTACTCAGGATCTATGCCCAGTTCTTGCTGACCAGTGTCTTCTCCCTTTTCAAGTGTATTATCAGTTATCCTGCCGCGTCGTCAAATGAGAACGACATACAACTACTGCAGAGCTTAGTGGACATGTTCGCTGAATTAGATGGAAAGGAGTCAGCAAAGTCGAGGGGACTGTTTCCTCCGTTTTATTTCACAGTCTGTCTGATCAAGAGACTTGTCTTCCTTGCCAGGAAGGCCTCCAACAAGGCTTGCGAGTGATACTGGCTTCTGGTCGCGCTCAAAGTGAGATTAGGGGCTCTTAAAAATGTATATGACTGAGTAAGAAGTAGACTCGTGTGAGCCTTCCCTCTCACTAGAGAACAATTGGTCGTTGGGTAAGTATTGGACCTTAATTTCGAACGGATCTCACTCTAACCCAACTTGATACATGCCAGAAGTTACCTTTGATTAAACAATTGAATGGAATAGTAGAAAGAGATTTCTTCTCATTTGGTTAGCAATGAATGGAAGCAGTTATATCTTGATTCATTCTATGGAAAATAAGTAGTATAGTAAGGTTAATCTACAGGCAGCATCAGTGTATGTTCACTCAATTGAAGCTTAAGATTTAATATTAGCAATGCCGTACTACCAAGAACAGTTAGGTATGAATCACGTGCTTCCTCTCAGCGAGCCTGAGCATTGCTTGTGTGTAAGCTTCCCCGGAGCAATTGTCTATCTAGATACTGATAAGAAGATACTCACCGATGTGGCGGCCTAGTATAATGCGGTGGAAATGAAACTGTGGGATGCTCTGCTGGGATTGGCTGAGATTAGCTTCCGTTTGTGTAATGCATCACGGCTTTGATATAAATTACTACTATATCCCCAACTCCAATTACCGAATCCAGAGAACAACCTGACCTGCTCCAACCAATCACCAAGTAATCAAGTCAATGAGGGGCGGGCTATCTGATGGAAACCGTATGTAGTTACCTACCCTTATAACTCGGAGTCTTGGGAAGTCGACTACATCCATAGATTTATCCTTGAATCTCGCCACAAAAAGGTTTATATTGTCAAGTTACTGCGTTTCTTCCTCGACTATAATGAGCAGCCTGGACAGGAATGTCGATGAATATGACCTGACTAGATCTTGGAGCAAGTAAGAGAGGAGATGAAATCTATCCTGTTCTTACAGGCCATCCAAGCAGAAGTCACGGGGATTAACTAATACCAGTAGAAGGAAGTGGCTGAATAAGCGTACAAATTATTTATACTAATTGGGTTGACCCTGCGCTCGCGCATGCGGGGTTATCACTGAAATTCTAGCCAGAAATTGGGTGAACTGCAGCCTTCATGTCCAATTACTTACTCCTATTTAAACTCAATAAGAATTCATATCAAACGTAGTACGGTAACAAGCCAGACTTATTATAACTCCAAGTTTTCCTTGGAGAGGGAGATCTTGCCCTGTGCCAGATGCTCCTCCTGATGGCACAATATCTACAAGCCTCACGGACGCCGAACCGTTGCTGGCATGTCATCAGCACAACCTGTCGTGTTGGTCAGGCATTGGGGCTTCATTCCAGTTATGGCGACAATACTCGCTCATTTGCCGAGATACAGGTCAGACGGAGGGTGTGGCATGGATGTGTTATGCTGGACCTGTATGCAGCCGCCTATGAAGTTCCGTGGCCTATCCTCCCCTAACTAACACATACCTTTTCTAGGGCAGTGAGCACGATTTTGGGCCGCCCACCGATGATCTCGCAAGAGTCGTCCATGCCACTTCCCCAGGCTATCGACGACTGCTATTTGACCCCAGATTCCGTGATATGCACACAGCCACCCAGAATCTTTTCACGCGTTGCGTGGTTCGTCGAGACCCTCAAGTTGCACGATATGCTCCGGAAGACCCTGGCTGCATTGTACCATAACGCGGCGTCAAGGGACGCTGGAAGTGATATGGAAGGAAAGGCAGCCCCGCTGAGGCAAATGATAGGTATCATAGAAATAGACTCCCAGCTCCAACGATTCAAAGACGCCCTCCCCCCCGAACTGGACTGGGATACTGGGATACCCAGTGGGGAGCTGCCGTTGTTTCTCAGAGAGAAGTATCTACTTCGAGCCAGGTAGGGGAGCTGTATGTCAATGTTCCAATTGTCGCTAAGTCCCAACAGGTTTTGCTACCTATAACTTCTCCTCTACAGACCAGTCCTTGTGAGGACACTTCGGACCCACCCAGGAACCCAAAACACTCAGACCGGAGACATTCTACGACATGGAAGCATCTCTTCCAAGTTTCTCCTGGACTGTTCCGTCTACTGCGTTCGAGCCGCAATTGATCTCGCATGCCTGGTGCATCAGACATGCCATACCGAACTGTCCAGCGTTTGGTTCTACAATGTTTTCTGTGAGCCGCTCGCCCGTGGATGCAAGGAGAATCAAATACTGATATTGTGCATATCAGACTCATTCACTGCCGGATCAGTGATTATCCTCGCCCAGCTCTCTCCATCGATCGTGGAGATTGTGGCCCGACAAGACTTGAAAGAAGCGTGGGATAAATGCCGGGATACCCTGAATAGTCTATCAGGATACAGCAGTACTGTGAAAGACTGTGCAGAGACGCTTTCCCTCATCAGGTCGAAATGTCAAACTGCTGGAGCAGGTACAAAGGCACATATATATATATTCAAAGAAAGTAACTAAACTCTCGCAGGCTTGCAGGAGGAACATAATTCATGCACCGATACCCATGTGGACTCGGAACAAGTCGACTTTGAAGGCTGTGATCTGGCATCGGATAATATATCTCTGACAGACGGCCTCTTCCGTGACTTTGATTTCAACGAGGATACATTATTTGACCCGTTCTGGTTCACTCTTCAGTTCTAGGTCTCATATCCATGGTACGTATTAGAAGAACTACTGATGTGCAAATACATTGATTTACTACCGTTTGTTGATTGGTATACCATCTATGACACGTTGAGACAAATAAGATTATTTCTACATTATTGAAACGACAATCGACGCCCCTGGCACTTCTTTTACAAGAGACACAACCAGACCTTTTTTTGCGCGTCCTCTGCGTCAAAATGCGTGCGAGGCCCGCCAAGGGGGGCTGTTAATCAATGAGTGAGGATCACTTCCTTCAAGAAGGACTCGATACTCTCAATATTGTCCAAATTGGCAGCGTGCCCCATGATACCGTCTGGTCTCAGGGCTACCACCGCGCCCTCCATGGTTGAGATGCTGTATGCTGCATGAGCAGACCGTTCCTGGTCATAGTACATCTTGCCGATCTTGGGGGTTGCGAACATCTGGTCACCTTCAGCAGGACTTTGGGCAAGTATTGTCAAGAAATGAGCAAGCCCACAAGGCAAGCTGTCCCTAAGCCGGCTCAGTTGCTCCACAGCCTTGCCTAGTTTCTCTCGCGTGGCGAGCGGTTGCCCAGCTAAGACGATGACAGACCATTTGCCGTAGTTCGGTATCAACTGGAACAGACGAACTGGGATCCGAGACCCCGGTGCATAGAGCAACGCATCAGGTCCTCTCCAACCCGCTGAGATCATCCCCGTCGATGGAGATTTGTTAATGATGGTTTCGTCATAGTGAATGCCCAGTCCAATGTTGAACTGAATCGTCTCGTCGAACAATCTAGTGAACAGTTCGTTGGCGTCCACATACGCACCCTTGTGACTGTCTGGGATCTGGCCGGAGATGGTTGCAGAGAAGGCCTTGTCCAGCTCAATGAGATGCTGTGCGGCCGGCCGGCGCTCGAGGTCATATGTATGAAGTATTTCGGTACTATACCAACCTTTCACCACGCCACCCAATTTCCAGCTGAGGTTAACCGCATCATGGACTCCAGTATTCATGCCCTGAGTGGCTCCAGAAGAGTGCGTGTGGCATGCATCGCCAGCGAGCAAGACGCGGGAGTTCGTGTAGAATGTATCTGCAACCTTTGGGTTGATGCTAAAATTGGATGTCAGCCTTGAGCTTCGACATGCACGCCCTTTCAAAAGATTCTCTCACCTGTACAGAGTCCACCATTCCACCTTCTGTACCTCAAAAGTGAAGGGCTCCATAGACTTTCTGGCCTCCTCAATAGCTTGCTCCTGCGTGAGCTTTTCTCCATACTTGGCAAGCATCTCGTCTGTCATTGCAAAACCGATGCGCTTAACGCCATGGTCAAGCTGAACCCACAGGACGTTGCCATGGCTCTTGGACTCGATTGACGCAAATCCAACATCTGCGTCCGGCATATTGGTGGAAAATATGCCGTCAATTCGAACCCATTTGAACTGAGTATGATCACCCTCAAATGGGATGTTGGCCGAGCGTCGGACGAGCGAATGGCTTCCATCCGCGCCAACAATAAACTTGCTGCGAAGAGTCAGAAGAGCCAGTATAGAAAACGGCTACTGGAGGAACATACCTTTTGACTGTGACGGTCTTATCCGTACTCCACTGACGAATTTGACTCGTTACGTTGTAACCGTCATTCGCTACGTCTTCGACGGCATAACCTTCCAGCTTCCAGCCGATGTATGCCTCCCCACCTTGCTCCAGGTACGCGGTGCGGATCACATCCTCTGAATACTTCTGGCGGATGTTTAGGCAGTAGTCGCGGAAGGTGCCATTCATGCGCTCAAACATGATATGCCAGCCGCGAGACGTCACCCGTCTGCCGTCCTTGTATGTGACGCTATTGCGGCCGATGTAGCCAATCTGGTTCAGCTCCTCGAGAAGCCCGAGCTGGTCAAGCATCTCTAGCGTTCGCGGGTACAGGGTGGTGGCTCGGCCGTACATAGCCTGCTGCTCCTTGTCGTGCTGCGCTGAAAGGTCTGTCAGTCTTCTAAATGACCGATAGCAGAAAAGACACCAATAGCGTACCAACGACGATCGAGGCTACGCCCTGCCTGGCAAGACTGTAGGAAATGAGCAGACCCACGGGTCCCCCACCGACAATAAGGACGTCTGTGTTGACTGTAGTCTTCATATTGTTGAGTCAATGAAGCAAGCGTACTTGATAACGAAGAAAGGTAGCGGTCGATATTGCTCGGGCGGTTCGACGCCTTTATACTCGGGATGCCGGCTATATCGGCATGGCACAGAACGGAAAGGATGTGCCAGAAGACTACTACGTGTGAACTATACGTGGAAGTGACCGGCATCCATTGACCGATTTGCTGCAATCATCAGTTGATGGCAAAGCGCTCAAGCATCTACAGTTGTATCGTTGGTATCGGGATTGTAATACAGCGAATCCGATGGTTTTATAGGGACAAAATAACCGTATCGGAATGCAACGGTAAGTGGACCTAAAATGCATCATGATCATCAAAATACCTCATGCTGTCGCCGCTTGCTCCGATAGAGCTAAAGTAATGTTTCGTCATTACCAGGATATTACATTCAGTGGCTGATGTCGTGGCGGGGTTCCTAGAAAATGTTTTGCATTTCGCCTGGGTCAAACAATCAATAATATATAATGATTAATTTTATTAATATGGAATACTACTAAATTACAATTTGGTTTTGCCTGAGCACTGCCCTTATCAACGCTTTCTGCCTGGCGAGTCCGCCTTACTAGTAGATTAACTACAGTGAACCACCGGTATAAGCAACACCCGGTATAGGGAATCCTCCATTTAAAGCAACCAAATCACTGGTCGGAATTGATTTTACATATAAAATTACATAACACGCCAATACTAGATAATTGCTGATTTTTTTCTTACCTCCCATACAAAATTACTTTTATCAGGATAAGGTGGATTTGAATATCTAAACAGATAAAAAGGTTACCAGTTAAATATCATTAATACAATTATACATAGGCTAGTACTACATGTAAATTACATTAAAAACACGTGATTTTAGCCACTAGTCTTCTTTTTTGGCCAACTGGTCAATTTTGGGCGATTTTACATACATTTTAATATAAGGAATTATCCACTATAAGCAATTTGAGAGGTGGTCTCAATTAATTGCTTATATCGGTGGTTCACTGTAGCAGGGGTCCGTAACAGCTTGCTGTTGAGAAATGTACAGTAGACTGTAAGATCTTTCTATTCAGATCCAGACTCCGGACATAGTATTTTAGATATATTGTAAAGTGAAATACGTTAGTTACCCTATCTTTGGACCTTGGTCAGCCATAAGACAGAATCACGTGCTCCTAAACCCCGCACCCCAGAGAGGTCCATTTTCATTATCTATCCTGAACTGTCCTCAACATGGTACTGTATACTCAATGAACAGGCAATAGATTTGCATCAGCTTGCGGCAAAATAAGTCTCTATTCTACATCTAGACTTTGATGTCATCATGGACCACCGGCCCCCAAGACCTAAAACACGACCCAAGGTAGCCGAAAAAGACAGGAAACGTGCCCGTAAAGCGTACAAACCCATCTCTTTCTATACGCACACGCAATAACTAAAGATTATCAGCTGCACGCTTTGTCAAATACGGAAAGCGAAATGTGTGAAGGCCACTAGCGGGGCTTGCGTCAACTGTGCACGGCAAAGTTTGCCCTGTAGCCTTCAGTATACCACTAATTTTGATGCCTCGACGACATCACGGTGAAATCTCATTGGGAGTGACTCTCGTGTTGAAGAATGCGCTAATAGTTCGCATAGAGAGAACGAATCTATACAATGCTCCCAATCATCCACCTCTGCCAACGGAGATGACCAGAACTCGAGCTCACGGAGCAGCATTGTACCACGTATTTTCAATTCGATACGACTGCCTGAACAGCCTGACCAGCCTGATCTGATTCTTGAGGATCTGTCATCAAAAAGTGGCTATCCCTCCTTTCTAGAGAGAGTAATATTAATTCCCGTGCAGGACTTTTGGAGAAAATAGCCGATTCAATGTTCCTTAGCGATGCTTCCACGGCTTCATCCATCACTTCATCGGGAGTCAGTAAATTACTTGAAGGAAGGTTTCACTACTTACTCGTATCATAGGTGCCGAGGTCGAGCTCAGACGACCTATTAATCAAGCAAGCTAGGAATGCATTCCCACCTCGCCATATTGCAGACTTCTTGTGCAATGTATGTATCAACTACGGCACTGACTACCTGTTCTATTTCCCGCATCGAAAATTCAGAAAGATGCTCCATGCTTTTTACGCGGACCCAGAAAGTTGCGGAAGATTAAACAAAGAGTTTTTGTGCATGGCCCTTTCATGCTTCGCAATCGGTTCTCAATTTGCACATCTAGTGGACTCTCGTTTGAGTTCGATTGAATTCGCTTGCCTCAAAACCATTCCTGGCATCAAGTTCTACAATAGCGCTCAAGCTCTTGTACCCAGCTTAATTTGTGACCCTTCTGTGGAGTCAGCCCAGGCTTTCACCATGCTGTCGATATATGCATTTCCATTTGATGCTCGTGGTGCATCATGGTCGTACCTCGGGCTTGCTCTGAGAACCTCCTTGTCCATCGGATTGCATAAAGATACTCTGGATACGGAACTTTCGGAGGCTGACCGAGAAATCCGACGTCGAACTTGGTGGAGTATTTTTTTAACTGAACGGTATCTTTGTTCTCGATCACGCTGTCTATTTGGTGGGAACTAAATTCTCTAGCGTGTCAGCAATCAAACTGGGTCTTCCAGAAGGTATAAGTGAAGTATCGGTTACCACGCCTCTTCCCCAGGCATGCTGGGCACTGGATCAAGGTCAAGTGAATAATAATCTCGAGCTTCTGCTGGCATATATCAGTCTAGCTAAAATATGGCGAGCCATTTCTGAGTCTGTGTAGGTGGCATCTATGCTTGATATTCCCCAACAGAAAATTTCGCAGCACGAAGACTAATTTTCTTAGGCCAAGCGTTTTTAGACCAATCACCCCTAGGTCAGTGGAAGAAATTCATTACTTGATCCGTGAGCTGGATGCCTGGAGATCATCTTTGCCGGATTCCCTCACAATCAACGGGATCAACAAGGATTCAAAACTGTATAGAGCAGTGATTCATATCCATGCGAACTACTACCATGCCTGGATTATACTCTGCCGGGAACCCTTGATTGCTTTGGTCAAATCAAAAATGGCAAACGCAGCCTGGGCTACTGCCTCTTCGGGTTGTTCATCGGCAGGCACTTCACAAGCTCAGGAATTCTCCGATCTTTGTCTGAATGCAGCGAGGTCCATGCTGAGATTGTATGAGATGCTTCGGAAGGATAACATCCTAGCTCGGTTTTCTTTTACGGATTTTCAAGGATGCAGCACATCAGCCATCATAATGCTTCTTTACGGAGTTGTGGATCGGGATGAAACTTACGATGATTACGTGGACTCTGCGTTCGAGGCCCTATCGTATATGGGCACAGGGTGTGATAAGGCTCAGGCTGCAGTCCAGTTCATTCGGGGTTTCCGAGAGCTCACGGATGAGGCATATAAGCGAGCCCGGAATCTTTCGACCAATCCAACAGTTTCAACGACACTAGAAGATCTGGAATTGTACGAGGAGTGGGTGGTCTCGTGTGGGGAAACAGAACGAGCACAAAATGATGGCGCGCTTTCTCTGGCAGCTCATGAACAAGAACCAAATTGTGTGCCATTACAAGCAGAAAACGCAGCCTCGATGGTCCTAGCCACCGACAGTACTGACAGGGGTAATGACATGGCTCCCGTAGGGATTTCAGGGGCGTCTGACTGGCAGAGCGAGACAATACACAGTACCTGGCTCTCAGGAGTGGGTAACGATCGCGAGTCCGAAGCGTTGACGATGGATGATTTAATGAACTCGTCAATACCGGAAAGCTTTGTCGCAGACGTAACTGGGATCAACTTGCTCGACTTTGGATTTTGAATGATGCGGGAGCCGTTCGAGTCTTCGTTGAACTAGGCAGGATTGCAATAAAACATGAGTATATTGAATTACTTTGAGTGAATTTTGATTGCATTTTATTAAAAATGTCGTCAATTTTCTTACGGTCATAATGTGTGCTCAATTTTGACAACAGCATGCCGCTGGCCCTGAGAATCGACACTATGGAAGATCGTGTTTGCAGATGGAATATCTTAGGTGGGTTATACACATCACTGCTCAGCATAAGATTCAAGCACCAACGGAAACGGATCCCTGATCTGATATTGATTCTAAGCTATCTGAGGTTTCTTCCGTAGATTGTTTTTCTTTTTTTGTAGTATTAACGAGTTCAAGTGCGTCCTGGTGACGTTCTGGATTTAGAACATACCCCAGACTTAGACGTCTGTCGGAAGTCGATCCCACTGGCTGACCTCCACCCTTCCATCTTTAATGACTGCCATAAGATGCTCCATAGGCCTATCAAATACTGAAATGTCCTCCAATGGGTTCGTGTTCAGAACAAGTAGGTCTGCGAAGTAGCCCGGCTTGATTTGACCCAGCAACTCCTCATGTCGAACCAATTTAGCCGCACTAACGGTGGCGCTCTTAAGGATCTCAGCAGCAGAGAGAACTTGGGCTCTCAAGGCAAACTCTTTCGTCTGAGCTGCTACTAGAGGACCTAGCAGGTCGGTCCCGAAGCATATTACCACACCAGCTTTGTGAGCTACCAACAGTGATTTGAGGCCATCTTGCAGAACCTCGGCATTCTTCTCGGACATTCCCGAAGGTAGGAAATCCGACCAAGAAGTTTCAGCCATTTCAGAGTAGGTGACTAGAGTCGGTACCAGGAATACATCGTTCTGTGCCATCAGTGTGGCCGTTTCCTCGTCGATGTTGTTTCCATGCTCGATACAGGTGACTCCATTCTCAATGGCCATCTTGATAGCAGTTGGCGTGTAGGCATGTGCTGTGACATATGTGTTGCGATTGCCGGCCACGGTAGTGATCGCCTTGATCTCCTCTGGCGTGAACTGGAGATCAGGTATAGCATCAAAGGGGCTAGCAACACCGCCCCCTGCCATGATCTTGATGAAATCGGCACCAATTCGCAACTCTTGTCGTGCCGCCTTGAGACACTCAGGCACACCATCACATAGTTGCAGACACTGGGAGGAGACTCTCCCACCACAGCAATTGTCATGCTCGTGTCTCGCGCGGAAGTCCCCGTGACCTCCAGTTTGGGATAGTGCCTTCCCAGATATGAACAGACGTGGTCCAGGGAAGACACCCTCTGCAATGGCCTCTTTAAGGGCGAACGTAGCGCCGGCGGTGTCCCGGACGCTGGTAAACCCCTTCTTCAGCATTTGGCTGCAAACATAGGGTTGTCTGAAATATGATTCCCTGGCATCGCTTGAGAATAGAGAGGTTACCGTGGAAGTACCAGGGGTGAATGAAAGGTGAACATGACAGTCAATGAGTCCTGGACACAGATACATCCCTTCAGCGTCAATTTCAATGACATCCGGTTCATTGATAGTGGTCGAACTGACGGCTTTAATCTTGCCATCTGATATCATGACATCTGTACCGACCGAGACTGTTCCATCGTTGGAATTGACGATATTCGCGTTTTTGAACACGTAAACTCGTCGATCCTTGCGAGTCCAAGGACGAATCCTAGGATCAACTTTCATTTTAAGACTGAGGGGGCCGATGCAACTGAATAGAAAGATGCGTGGTGATTTGCTGGCTAATCGTGAGAGTTGAGAGCTAAACACATTGTTCCCGCCTTTTATGTTATTGCCAACTTAATGGCCAACGTTGAGGGTACTAACATGGTGATGGGCGGCAAGCTGCCGCATTCCCTCTATCTTCGGCAGCTTGCCGGCGCCTGGCTACCCGCACGGCACCTTGCCGGTAATCATTATTCCTATCAGACACGATAACGGAGATAAGCAAAATAATTACTGTTCCTATGCCGGCTACTACGGGGGGATCAGAGCTATCAATCCCATTGTAGCAGATTCGACCGCTACTGTATAAGTAAACGATCACCCGGTCTACTTGTCTTTGACAAAGCTTCACTACGGCAAATATATTGTATAAAAGTCGTGTCGGCTACAAGAACGTTGTCACAGTCACGGTGAGAACATGAGGAACGGGGAAGCGAAAAGCGAGCCCATGGGGGAGACCAAATTGGCGCCTGGACATGTCGGCGATGTGATGGAATGGTCTGTCGATGAGGAGCGGCGGATTCTGAAGAAAATTGACTCAACTGTCTTACCCATCGTCAGTATTACCTTGTGCAGGAGATAGCGACGTAACCAGGTGCTCATGCTAGGAACTCAGCTTTGCTTCGTCTTTTTTTTTCAGTGTGAGCCTAAGAAAAGATCCCTTGGCCTGGAGGATTCGCTGATGTTTTTTCACTAGATCTCGACAAACAGAGTCTCAGCTATACTGCCGTCTTTGGATTGAGGACCGACTTGAATCTCACAAGTTCTCAATACTCTTGGTGTACCTCTCTGTTTTACTTCGGTACTGTATCACTCGTCATAACCGGCTAGCTAATTTGACTGACATTCTGGGCAGGACAACTTGTGTCCGAGTACCTTGCTGTCTACCTCATGAGTCGACTGCCACTCATCCGAGTTGTTGGCATATCCATGTAATTCGTGTCACATTCCTGATATGCATACACGTCTGACTTCTCTAGCATCGTATGGGGAGGCGTCTGTATGTGCCTTGCTGCTCCTCATAACTTTTCCGGGTTTGGAGCGGTCCGATTCTTGCTGGGATTTACCGAGGCAGCCATTCAGCCAGCAGCCGTCACAATCACCAGCATTTGGTATAGGAAAGAGGAACATCCTCGCCGTGTAGGGTGAACTCCAACCACGTTCGAGGATATTTGTCTCAGAAGCTAATAGCAGTCAAAAGTATTTGGGTCTCAATGAATGCACTTGCACAAACCATTGGAGCAATCATGATGTACGGCATTGGAAAGAACTCCGGATTGTCCGTGGCCCCATGGCGCTGCATGTTCCTCGTCTGTGGTGGTTGCACAATCGCGGCCGGCATGCTGTTCCTCCTTGTCTTGCCGTCCGGGCCCGACAATGCATGGTTCCTGACGATGCGCGAAAGAGCCATCATCAAGCAGAGAATGATGGTACATCGTGAGGGAGGTGACCAGGTGACATTCTCCATCCCGCAGTTGAAGGAAGCTATGCTAGATCCGAAAACTTGGCTAGTTGGCTCATTTGGCTTCTTGGTAACCATGTCTGGACCCGTGATAATTGTAAGATTCGCTTCTCCCAAATATTCCTACCTGCCTGACCAGACTTAGTTTGCGTCGCTGGTGATCAGCGATATCGGATATGACAAATATGAGACTATGCTGTACAGCTCCCCATCAGGAGCAGTCCAATTTTTTTTCATCTGGCTCGGCATTGCCGGCTGTGCCCTTATGCCAAACCATCGAGCCGTTGTTATAATCGCTCTCACCATCGTTCCGTTAGTTGGCAGCATCCTCTTGCTGGTGCTGGATATGAGTGCCGGCTGGGGTATAATTATAGCCTCATGGCTGGTGAGCTCGCTATTTCTTATCGCTCCAGAAAAAAGTCACACTTACAATATTCAGGCATCTAGTATATCTTGCATCATGAGCATTGTGCTCAGCCTTTCGGCTTCCAATGTCAAAGGGAATACCAAGCGCTCGGTCGTGAATACCGTCTTCTTTATCGGCTATTGCGTGGGCGCTATTGTTGGCCCCCAGCTTTGGACGGAGCCCCCACGCTATACTAAGGGGCTCATCACCTCCATTGTTCTTTGGGCTGTTTTTATGGTCTTTATTGCGGTGTACTGGGCTGTCTGCTACTTTGACAACGTGTCCCGGGATTTGAAAGCTCAAGGGGATCCCCAAGCGCATGAGCATGGAGTCGAAGACATAACGGACAGGGAGGACCTGCTGTTTAGATACATGTACTAATATCAGGCTCAGTGTCTGTGTAGAGGACTCGTAATGGTCCATTCACGCCCCCAAGGTTGGAATTATAGTGGCTATACCTGAGCATTCTTCCTTAACCTGCCGTTAACCGGCAATCAGGTTAAGGTATAGAAATCCTTCCAACCGTACTTCTGAGGTCAGGTTGCGGTTAAATGATTATCTGAGCAGTTATTAACTATTCTCAATTCTAAATTAGAAGGTCTGGTATTCATAAAATCATGGGTCACATGCTCAAATTTTTTGATCATAAGATCTATCTGATTAATATAGAAAGTTCCCGGTAGCATATTCCAATCAGATGATATTCGGGGTTTGGTTGGGACAGAGAGCCGTATCAGCAGTCCTTACTATTGTATATTTATGTAGCTAGATCGCCGCTGAAATGCATTGTAACCTAGTCCCACTCAATAATAGCCAATAAGATTATATGACCACTAGGAATGTTCCCAGCCAGTTTATTTCAAATTGTAGAGATGGACCAGCAATCGCCGATCAGAGCGGGGAAGCTGAAAGCAAACAGTATCACGTTTTCATTTATTCGCGGTCATGTATTCATGCATCTTCCGAAACCCCACCTCTACTTGAACTTGACCCCCACGGCTCAGCCGTACGCGGGGTTCCACCCTTCAGCCGAATCACGCAACATCTATTGGCGTTTAGGACAATAGTTCCAGGGAGCAGAGACAATATTGCAATCATAGGGAGAAGCAAATCAAGACGGTATACATACAAAGTATGTACATCTGAGCCTACTGTGACAAGCAGTTCGCCCGTGCTGCAAAATGCCATTGCACCGAGTATGCAAGTGCTGGCGTATTTAAGGTGTGCTCGTTCTTCCTTTCTCACAACCTCATCTCCCATTAGGTACATCCCTCAATCAGAACAATGAATTATCTCTTTCTCTTCATCCTTGGGCTCTTCCAACTGGCATGCGCTGCCAAATCGGGCACGTATAATGCCGGCTGGCCGGTGGGCGATGCTACGTGGAAGCAAACTGATTCGGACTTTGAGAAGGAAACAGGTATCAGTCAATACAGACTTTTTGAGGCTGATGGCTTGATCTACAAGTACCAACTTGATGTTATTGTGAGCGAAGTGCAAGGAACTTTTGGCTGTACATATTACTTCATTGATGCCACCGACCAATACTCTCTCACTGTTTTCCTTACTGGCGAGCATACGGTCAGCTACAACTCCGACGATCCTTATATTTTGATGGTGAAGGTTGTGGAAGACTAGTGATGGTGAGTACAGCAGATTCTAATATTCGACTGATAGAGCCAGGCTGATAAGCACGATAAGAGTCCATTACCAACTCTGCAGGCCACAGACCGTGGAAGGATATCTAACTGGGCTTCTGATAACAACAGAATCTTTTTCAAAAGTCCGACGCCTTGCTTTATATATGCATTCAACATGCAGTAGGGCTATGGCGACGCTATTGCAGACTTAAATGTTTTCGTACCTGCCCGGGATGTTCAAATTTGAGATCCCCTCTTAGCTTTCAACAGCCATCTGCTACCATCACTGTTATTGTTATACTCCGAGGGCTTTTCGTGTCCCAAATATTCATGTAGCCCACATAGCAAGTGTCAACTCAAAATTCTTATTACAATGTTTCTATTCGATCGGCCTCCTTTCTCTGTTTTCACTCCGAAGCCTGTCTCTGCTTCTGTTTATTGGCGGAAGAGTATCACAGTCTTTAGATATTTGGCGGCTTTCTATATATCTTTGTTATCTGTAGAGTGGTTAACAGCCAGGTTAGGATAGGACAATGGAGATTTTTATAACTATCATCAGATTAATAATTAGATTAGAGTCGAGTTCCAAGTCTCGAGACGAGAGAATAAAAGAGTTCTTAAGATTACTTTACACTTGCCCCTACGCGGATTGAAAGGACAGACATAACAGACGAGTCCCGGGAACTTGTGAATAGTTTACAGCACATCCAAATTCTAAGAACGCAATAAAGTAAAAGCCATGATCTCAGCAATCCAATTTGGGTCTCAGCCGATCCAGGTTAAGGCAAATCAGTCTTAATAAAGTACTCGGTGGATGAGGTCCTTCTATATAATAAGAAATAAACAACCTCTTATATCTGTTTTAAGGACAACTTTCCGGATCAGACAAAGCAATAAATGCACTATCAGCTATCTTACATCATATTTTCATGGCACGGCCCTGCTTCCTATCAGATATTCTCCTAGATAAACTAGATACTGACAGAGAAAAGCTCATCCAATCCTTCCATGAATGTTGAAATATGCTTCTATCTGTCTTTGCTGAGACAGCAACTGGAGAAGTTATATATATTCTAGACATATTAGTTAAGTATCGAGATTCAGATCAACTTATCAAAGCTGTTAACAAGTTTTACCAAGGATCCTATAAGGACCAGAAATTGAAGTTCTTAATAATCAGCAGATCATATCCTTATATAGAATATCTCTTCTAGAAGCTGCAGGCTAACCTACCCACAATCCATATAAGTAGGTATGTTGAGAAAGAGATCTAGCAAATCTTTCATGAATCAGGCCTTGTTGTCAGTAAAAGAATAAACAATCACAGTAAGCAAAGATTACTCAAGGAATATAAATACAACTTACTGAAACAACAGCTGATTATAAAAAAAAATAGAACATATCTATGAGTCAGCCTTACCTTGGACATCCTGGAGAATATGCCAGATCTTATAAAAAGAAATATTTAACAGCTTATACAGCATATTCGTACAACTATTGACAGTGCCTATGAAATAATCTTGGACTGGAGCTTTATTAGAGAAGATATCAGGATTTATCAGAAATAAGCCTAATCTGCTCTGTGAGCATTAGATATACTATATGATTTCATATAGGGCATGTAATGAATCTGGATTTATAATTATATAGGAAAGAGGGTTTTCAGAAAAATAGATAAGTATTCAGTTAATATAGACGAATTACAGCCGACAATTATTATATTATTTATTTTAGTAATACTTAATAAATTTAATCAGGTTTGGTCTTTCTGGAAAAGAATACTAACCTAATTCAAACTTTTGTTATATATACTAATCTAACTAAATTTCTGTTACATGCACTAACTGAATTCGGAAATGAATATTATTATCTTGAAATACTGGGAGTTCAACAGAACAATTACTTAACTGGAAAAAAAATATATTACTGTATTTTGCGTTCAAAGTACTATCAAATGATACTAGTTTTGAGCTTATCAGACCTTATTTCCACTGTTATCCCATTGTGAAGATTTCCCTACTACTACTAGACTAACTAAATTCAGAAGTAAAGATTGCTATCTTTAAATACTTATAACTCCACAGAATTATTAATTAATTAAGTAAAAGTCATATTACTGTATTCTGTGTTCAAAGTACTATTAGATGATACTAGTTTTGAACTTACCAGACATCATTTCACTGTTGTCTGTTGTGAAGATTTCCTTCCAGAAAGATTTCAGAAAGTTCTCTAACTGACTGCGGTTCAGTTACAATGCCTTCTCCAAGCTCCTCCTTTAAGGCCATATGCACAATACTCTGTTAGCGATCAATAAAATTAGACCTGAGAACGTCACAACACTTCCGGGCTTGAGTGTAGATAGAATGACTCTTTCCTTCTAGAGCTTGGCAATTTATGTCTTTGTTGTTGATCATGGCATTCTTGAGAGGACCGATGACTGTCTTGCGAAACTCTTTGTCCAGTCTTAGGAAGTTGCTTTGGCCGCAGCTAGGATAGATCTTTTAGAATGTGTCACGGCTTCTCTTAGTGAAATATTGGATTCTTACCGGTCATATTGACAATCTCTTGATTGGCTAAGATCATGTTCTTATGCTTTTCCAGGAGACGGCGGAGGCCGAATTTATCCTGCAAAATATTGGGATATTTGTAATAGGCGCTGCTGAATCCCTCACCCACGACATCCGAGATAAAGGGATTACTGAGCATTTCTGCAAGTGCGTGGTCTAGCGGAACCCAAAACTGGATCTAGTTTAAAAGATTTGCGACCTAGCATTGAGACCAAAGGTCTCGCCTGTTGTGCAGTCTCATAGAGAAGTAATCGGGCACGCCAATAATTGTCAAGATGTGCTCCAAGAATATCAAGATAAACAAGGGGATCATTTTCTGAGATACTGACTGCTGGGTTGTACTGTGGGAGCTGGAATGTATTTTTCCGACTGTGGCGGTCGCCTTCTAGGAAACTGCTGAATTTATCTGAGATGGTGGCCTTTATCCCGCTCTCAATGTGATCCTTATTCTTCTGAGTGATCTGTTTCTCCCGATACTTTTTCGGGAAGAGCGCTTTCCAAAAGCTCATGGTAAGATTGGACTGCGTGAGATGAGAGTAGGAGAGGAGCCAACTGTTACCATAGATTGAGTTAGTCTGTATGAATATGAGCTCTGTCACATGACGCAACATGTGGTCTATGTTGACTGGTCAGACTGTAGTCTTATCCAATCTGCCTGAGCATACGTTCGTACTCGCTTCTACGACTACGGGGACTTATGACTACGGGGACCTGAGAAATTTCCCACGGCTTTAAAAATACTACATCTGCGATCAAGGCCAATTCTCAGTCGATCTACGCCCCAGTGACAAGACAACTCTCAGCAATGTCTACAGTCCCTGTTGCGATGGAGTTACCACCTGATTCTGTCGCTCCTGAAGAAATGTCATATACAGAACGGTTCCTTCGCTATACATATGCAACGGGGAATGAAGAGCCGTATTTTCTCACCTTCCGCGGTCTGCAAAGACTCAACCTTGTCCACCTCCAGAATAAACTTGCCCAGAAAAAGAGCGTAATCTGGAAAGGCAAAGAGGGTACGGAAGAATCAATCAACGAACCAACATCTACTTTGCATGCATACGGTCCGTCCCCTTGTTGACAAAATACACTGTCCCATTCTGATATATGATTCAGCAAATGCGATTAGGGATTACGCATTTTTCTCTGGCTTACAGAATGTAACCGGTTCCTATGCTGAAGAAAAACGACGAGATCTTACGCATGCCTTTCCTGAAATTGCCAATCTACCAGGGGATCTTTTTAATTCTGCCTATTGTCGGCTTCCAAACCAGTCACTCCTGCCACGAGACCCGCTACGGGATTGGCTCAAGGCGAGACTACCGCGTCGACTGACCTACACCAAACGCGAGCAATTTCTCCGTACAGACGAGTATCTCAACGGTGAGGCCCCGAAGAAGTCTCGCAATTCATAGACAAACTCGCTCGATTCATGGTCGCATTTTCCGGTGGTCTGAGTCTTATTGTGCCGATGTTGATTATGAGGATCCAAGAAAACTTGACGAAGAGCTTAGTCACAGTATGTGTGGCTGTGGTGCTTTTTGCGGCGATTATCAGTCTGGTACTCAGAGCTAATAATACGGAGACGGTTATGGCGACTGCAGCATACGCGGCTGTGCTTGTGGTGTTTGTCGGGACAAGTGGATAGGCATTGTGACAAGAGCCTACTCTTCCGGAAAAGAGTGTATTTTGCAGCGAATACTGAGATTGGAGAGGAAAGCGAAAAGGAAGAAGTACTGGAGGTGTTTTACTTGCCCTCATACCCTTCGGTCTCCTCCAACTAGATCGCTCAAAATTAGCTGATCTATCTAAACACAGTACACGCACTTGTCCAGTGTCACAGGCATTGTCCAAAGAAGATTATTTGGCATCTGGACGTTGAAAAGCTGTATACACTGCACTTTAGTAAGAACCACTGTGTTCCGGACGTTCTTGTAGTATACATTTGTCCTTATGAACAAAGCCGCTGAGCAACCTGCCACTTCTGAATTACTGCAGTGTAGTCTCCCAAAGTACCACTTTGTTATGCATACTATTTTGAAACACTCAGAACCATTACTACACTGTTTCTCAGCATTATTGAACATGCACGGCATGGAATGTACAGAAATGTGGCTATATCTCTCCGAAGTATATTTATACTGGCATATTGAGGCATCCGTCATTTCTGGGCATTTAGGGCTGTGGAGCTTTAAAAATAACTGTGCGTTGTAAAGCTTTTCAGCATCTTCAATGACTCCGGTTTCATTAAGCGAACAGTTTCCTGTGTATCTCATATACCAAGCAGCCCTGAAGTTGTGACAACCTAAAGACTAATGTGACTATTCATGTCCGAATGAAGCCTGTGTATTCACGAGGACTAATAAATCTAGAGAAGAAAGAAAAAACTATTTATATTTAAGAATTAGATTATCTTATATATCTTTAGAGATTAATTCTTACCTGATAAGTTCTATTTCTTTTCTATTATTTTTTTATTAATTTTCTCTTAATATCTTTAGTTTCTTTCTTTTATCTCCCGGTTAGTTTTTATTTTATTGTTTAGTAAGTCCTGTATTCTAATTTTCTTTAAGAAAATTTATTATTAGTAATTTTCTAAGTCTGGAAGATTACATGACCTGTATAAGATAATTATATAAGATATTATATAATAATTAAAATATTATATTTTTTTTCTTTTTAAATATAATTATTTTTAAATATAAAATTTTAGTACTCTACTGTATTTATTATTCTCATAATTTATAAGAAATATATTATTTATTATTATATTTGGTTAATAAGTAAGTTGCACTAGTAGTCCTGTATATATCAGATATTTATTATAGAATATATAAAGTTAATCAGAAATATTTTTTAAATTTTTAATATTATATTATTTATTATCTAGTATATCTGTATTTATATATTTTATTTTATATTATAATTTTGTATTCTATATCTAGCTGGATAGAATCTTGTTAACTTCAAATTTTATAATAATATTAATCTATAATTCTAGTATATTATCCAGCTGCTAATCTAGAAATAAATAAAATCTTAATTCTATTTTTGATTTATTTAGAATAGAAAAATATCATATTTAGAAAATTAATACTATATATAAATTTTATAATAACCTTCCAAGATAAATCTATAAGATATAAATTATTATAAGAATCTCTGGTAGAATAGTTATTTACTTTATTTAATTTTTATTATTAACTTTTTTATAATCTCTTTTTCTTTGTACCTCACCAGCCACACGGAGAGATAAGAAAACAAGATATACTAGAAACATAAAAAATTTATAAGATTATAAGAATATTATTATCTACTTTATTATTTATTTCCTGTAGAAATTATAATGATTAAAATATAATAATAAGATTATTTTTTTTGTTATAATCCTTTTTTTTTCTTTACTTTACAAGCTACACTGAGGGGCGAGAGAATAAGATATATTAAAAAAAATAAAAAGAATATTAGGAACTGTCGGGATCCAGGGGGAATCTGGAAGTAATAAGGGTCAGGTGACTCAGGGTCACTAGGCCGAAAAAGGTAGGTGGTCTAGTGTAGAAAGGCCTAATATAAAGATAATAATACCTTTTCAATCACGTGACCAAAGGAGGTACGGTCAGGTAGTAATCATAAAATAATAATATAATCAGGTCACGTGACATCAGTCCCAAATAGGAAACTAGGTATCGATTCATAAAATTATATAAGATAAGTACAATTAACAAACTTGTCAAAGGGAAGCAATCCTATTACCTAAATAGGAAAGAAATGATTCCTTAGATAGATAGTGAATGAATTGGATGGCTTGGATAACTTGGAAGGCTTTGAGCAGGAAGATATGGGCCCTATTTATTTTCAATTCACTGCCTGTAGTGAATGAATCTAGACCAGGCTCATGAATCATCGAGGAATAAAGAAATCATAATCAACTGGTCAGAATGACGCAAGAATCGCATGTAAAAGAGGGGAATATCAGATTTGCAAGAAATAAGCCCAATCTGCTCCATGAGCATCAGGTTTTTGTATGGGGCATGTAATGATTCTGGGCATTCGTGGAAACGAGGGTTTTCATATAAATAGGTAAGAAATCAATTAGTAAGGTGAAAGTGATTTCCAGCTGACAACAAGAATATTATTATTTATTTTATTATTTATTTCTGCTATCTGCTCCACCATCTGTTCCCTGCAGGAATTGCAGAGGTAGAAGAATTTATTATATTATAAAGATATTATTATTTACTTAATTATTTATTTTCTACAGGAATCACGGAAATTCAAATATAATAATAAGATTTATTATTTTTATTTATTTTTTTTATAATTTCTCTTTTTTTTACCTCACGAGCCGCACGGAGGGGCGAGAGAATAAAATATATTAAGAAAAATAGAAAAAATTATTATTATTTATTTTATTATTTATTTTCTGTAGAAAGAATACTACTTAAGTATAAGAATTATAATAAAATTATTAATTAAAATACTGTCTTTCTTTATTATCCACTGGTACAGTGGGATCGCGGAGATTCAAACATATTAATATAATATTATATTCAAATTTTTTATCTTATTTTTATAGTATTATAATCTTTATAATTTACTAGTTAAAATATAATCTCTACTTTCTTATAACTGATTATAAATGAGTACACAGACTACTGTATATTAATATTTTTATAATAAGTAATACTTCCTGAAAGTATATAAATTAAATATAAGAAATAATATTAAATAATAAATATATATAATTTAAGTTCTCTAGTATATAGAATAGATAGGACTCTTAGAATCTATATTAAAAATATTAGTATATTATATTATATAATGCTTATTAAGGCGATGCTTAATATTATAATATTTATTAAAGTAATGTTTATTATTATAATACTTATTATTATAATATTTAATAAACTTAATCAGGCTTAGTGTCCCTGAAAAAGAGTATTAACTTGATTTAAATTTCTATTATATATACTAATCTGATTAATCTTCTATTATATATATTAATTATATCTCGAAATAAATATCATTATCTTCAAATGCTTATAAGTCCACAGAATAATTAATTAGAAGACTAAAGGTTATACTACTATATTTCTTGTTTCTAGTATTATTGAATGATACTAATCTTGAACTTGTCGGATATCGTTTCACTGTTGTCCTGTTGTGGAGATTTGCCTACTAGACACCATAGACCTCCGCCATGAAGGGAATTCCAAGGTCAAGCGCAGTGTCAAACCTTAGGATCGCTTCCCTGTCCCTGTTAGCTTAGCTTCACTGGTATACGTACCGTCGAACTAGGTCGAGGAGATATCAGACTGATGACTATCTAAGGATAACTGGTCTTGGACACAAGAAGAGAAGTAAGGCTAGATAATACCACACAGCTATCTGTAAGTAAGTGCAGATAAGTATTCTATTACTAAGTTTCCAAATGTATGGTTATTTAAAGATAATGTTATTAAGCACAAGAACAGAACTAGCTAAGTACATAAAAAAGTATCTTTATATATCTTATTTCTGTATACCATATTATATACTATTCTGGATAAATTAATAGTCAACCTAATCATAGCTCAGGGTCCTAGTATACCTTAAGTATATTCTCAATGGTAGGCTTAATAGTAGATAGTCACATAATACATAACTGTTTTGGGTGTCGTATTAATAATTTATAATTATACTAAATAATAACTTAGCTTTATTTAAATATTATTTTTATCAGTACTTTTTTGCCTGGTAAATCTATCTTACTAGTAGATTAACTAACAGAAATTTATAATATTACTTCTTTTTCTTTAAGATTTCTTATCTTCAAAAAATATAAAGATATATATTTCTTTTATATATTATCTAGATTTTTTAGTTTTTTTTCTTTTTTAGAATGGGTTAATATATCTCGCCGCTATACTAACCATGACTGAGTAAAAAAGCGCATTCATTAATCTGATAAGATTTATAAAAATAGTTATATTATTGAAAATTCCTGTAAATATTATTTTCTAAAAGATATTTCTTGTATCATAAATTTAAAGAGCTGAAATTGTGCTGCTTGTACTTATTATAATTAAAAATATAAGAAGCAGTTTCATAATGATAAAAAATAAAATAACTTAAAATAAAATTAATTAAAAGTATAAAATAAGCTTACTAAAACTTTAATTAAGCAGGCTTGTATTTCTATTAAAATAACTTATTTATTTAAATAATAACAATTCTTAAAGAATTATAATAAGCAGATACTGGATCATAACTTAAATATATTAAAGTAATTAAATGAGAAGGATCCTTCAAGTATTAAGAATTTTTAAAAATTAAAGTATCTAGCTGATAAGTATAATATTATTTAATTTATTATTATATTAAATAATTCTAATCTGATTTAGTTAATTAATTTTCTTTTCTTCTAGATAAACTTTGATCTTGCTGCTAGTAATACTGTTCTACAAGCTAGTAACAGCTTGTTAAATTCTTAATAAATTTTTATATATTTTCTGAGATATTATATCCTTTCTATTTTATTAAGTAATATAATTTATTACTAATTTTCTTATAATCTAGAATTTTTTCAACTTTGTATTCTTATTTACTATTATTATTAATTTCCACATTTTCCGTGATTCTAGCGTTTTTTGGTGCGGGTTCTAATAA